TCAGGCTTCCGCCAATCTAAGAAATATTAGTTCCGAGAGATGAGCAGCATTTTTAAATGTCCACTCACTGATTGAGCAGTCGATCTGCTGCAGAAAAACCATAGAAACTACTCGAGCCTTTTCAAACGCTTAGCATTTCTACGAATGAAAACTATTTGATACTAGTACTGCAGCATGGACCCCTCAATCCTTTCCGTCGATCTCTGCAAAAGGTCGCCTACAGTTTAGACTGTCGAAACTAGTTTCCGTCGATCCAGAATGCTTATCGGAGGAAGCGGAGAATAGAATTTCAATAGTTTACATCGAAAAACACAAAAGCGAGTTCAACCGAAATGACGTATTTATGAAGAAAAGGGTATATACAAATGACTAAGTTGTATACTAAGTAGTAGCACCATAGAGCAGAGCCAGGCCCATGGGTTAAGTTACCTTCGGAGGATCCACTCTGCTCGCGGCAGTGCTTGTCCTAACTCTGGACACTGTGACGGATGGCGACGCCTTCAGATCAATCCACTTCATATGATTCTTCGAGTGAGTTGGAAAATCAATCGAAGACTGGTGAGTTTGTTTAGCACGCACGCTTCTCCCCTCACTCTGCCACGTAACGACGCAGAGACCCTTTGCTCCGTATGATTCTGATGGACGATCTCTAGAGTATCCGTGACTGTAGCTATACATACATGTACATGTACTTCTGTACTTCACAGAACTTTCTATGTACTAGAACTTATCAGTAAACGAACAGCAAAAATACAAGTTCAAACTCTCACAATAATACTGCTGGAGGAAGGTCTCTTCTTTTATAGGGGTCCGCAACCGTCACTTGTAGCGCTTCCTTTATTCGAAATCGAGGTCCGATATACATTTTGGAAACGATCTTGTGTCAGTTTCTTTGTTCGGGTTCTCCAACAGATCTGCTTGAAAGATGCTTGTAAATGTACCGCTTAGAATATTTTGTTTTCCGGATCGGTTTTCTGTCACAGGATAACATGGAGTTATACTCGACACCCGATATACGATGCAGTGTTTTCCTGTAAAGAATTGAAATGTCAGATAAACTTTCATCTGAAATGGCACTGTCGAAGGTGACATTCGATCGTATCCTCACTGCTGCGCCGTTATCACTTCACTTGAAGCCACCTTGATCCGGTCAGCTGTGAATATCTGTCCAGAGGAAGCCATGAAGTGGTATGGGCCTGGAGACTGGAGTGCAGTTGTCAAGTGCAGAAAAGGATCTGACGCGATACATTATGAATATGAAGTGGTAAGGGCCTGGGGACGGGAGTAACGTTAATGAGCTGCCTGCATAGCATTGCATTACGGCATACCGGTACATAATAATATTATTATTTTGACTCATAAGTGCAGTCGTCAAGTGCAGAAAATGATCTGACGCGATACAATCATTATGAATATGGCTGTCCAGCCAACCTTGCACTAATGTTAGTTCTGGCTGATGTGAGGTGTGAGAAAGAAGCGCTTCTCTGCCATACGACTTGCACTCATCCAATCTGCACCAGAAAGGTAATTTAACGCTTTTGGCGGATTATCGGCTCTCTATCTAGGGAAATGACAAGCTTAGTATTATTTTTTCTTTGCATGGATAAGAGGACACGATGTTAAGAGTTATGACTAACGGATCACCAATGTAGATCATAATAGGTATACGGTAAATAGTCTGACAACCAGGCACAAACCTGCCTGGTGGGGGGGGGGGGGGGGGTGTAAATTTGACTTGGGAAGTCCCAGGAGGTACATGGCCTTATTACAGGCCCCTTACCCACACTGTGTACTTGTGCCCCTTTGAAAATCCCAATGAAATCATTCGCGTAACCTCTTGGCTCTATACTTATAATTATGTACGAGGTATACAAGTGTAGCTTTGTTCGGTGAGCAAAAATATCAGCAGACTCATTGTGCCTGGCAACAGTTGTGGGGAATAGCCGCATTCCACCGATCTGTCGCCAAAGAAGAAACAGCCCAATCCATATGCAATATGTACAGTTAGTAGGTGATGCCAAAGCAGCTGTATTCTGGCCGCGAGTAAGAACATTTGTGTGTGGGCCAGCAGAACGCAAAAGAAATAGTGAATGAAGTAGGGGACTAGCAAAAAGCCACGGCAGACAGAAACGTACAGTTCCCATTCATTACTGTATTCTTTGCCAACATCCATGGTGGACAGTGTAGCAAGGAACACTCCCGCCTAGGGCCTGCGTCACTTCAGCGTGATAATAATGATTACTGTACTAGTTTCAGGCAACAGAAACTACACTGAATCTGATAGGCGGGCACTAGGTACAAGTACAATACTAGGAACTACGCACGAGGTACACAAAAGGAAGTAAATACATGTAGGGCTGTTTTGTGTTGTAACTCAGAGTTTCATGGCAAAAACCAATCATCAGACAACAACGCCCTGTTTACTTCCTTTTGTGTACCTCTTCCGTACTACGCTCTGCCCATTCCGGGCATTTGAGCACTATTGCAGGTTAAGGCGCACAGCCTTTGTGTACTAGGAACGACATGTATACTGGGTATTTACTCTTGCTAGGTTAATACTACCAAGAGTCCCCACCTCAACTGATTGCGAGACCTCAAATGAAACGAGATCATTAATTTTACACAAAGATAGAGAGTCAATCTCGTGGATACTGACATCAGGTATAGCAGAACGCGAATGTAACGACACAATCAGCCTTTGTGTACTAGGAACGACATGTATACTGGGTATTTACTCTTGCTAGGTTAATACTACCAAGAGTCCCCACCTCAACTGATTGCGAGACCTCAAATGAAACGAGATCATTAATTTTACACAAAGATAGAGAGTCAATCTCGTGGATACTGACATCAGGTATAGCAGAACGCGAATGTAACGACACAATCTGCAGACCTAGTGACCATTCACCCCGTACATGTACATTGTACGTTCAACACGAATATTGACACTTTCTCATGCACTATCCAGGGCGTTATTCGCAAGGTTAGCTGAAGATGTCTCGCACGTGCCAGTGAGCAATATTACAGATTAAACGCTTCCACTGAATGAAAATCTCACTACATAGTTAGACTGTGTAGAGCCGTGCTCTATAATTATTTCACTATGCTCATCCTTTTATTATTATTATTATTATTTGATTACATCTACATGTACATGTACGTGTAAGTCTTTGCAACCGCTGCTGCATGGTACATGTACCTGTGTGTGATACGAATCATCCCAGCCTTCCCTACAGTACAGACTAGCGTTTACGTGAAATGAATTCCTAGTACTTGCCAGAGCAATAGTATAAATCTGAAACACATGTACTTGCCCTCAAACGTATGAGTACAATTTCGTGCATTTATGTTCGCATTTGACGGTACACGTACATGTACATGACATTGACGTTACAGTCTACCGGACTTTTCAAAGTGCCTGTCGCCCGGAATGATGGCGCAAGCTGTGAAACCTTGGTGATTGATATCTACATGCACATGCACATGGTACATGTACATGTAGATGTACAACATGTATGTCCTCATCAAATGAACTGACCTCAGTGACCTGTACAAGTCTGTACATTTTTACTATTAGCGGACACATCTGTAATGTGTCGGCTAACCTTTTTGTTTTGACAAATGGCTTACATAGTGGCCCAACCCTCACACTTGATCGGATTGCCATTAACATGTATCACGCCCAGATAACGCATCCCGGCCATGAACGGGCAATTAACGTCACATGTGATAGCGCAATTGTGAAATGTTCCGGCAAGTGCTAGCTCCTACAGTAAAGTTTTGATTTTATCCGCCAAGTTTCAGGTATCGTCTGATGTGTATCAATGCCCTCGAGCCGTACACATGCACAGAAGACAACTTATTTGGTGGAGAGATTACTGCACGTGCACTGACGTGCTGTGTCAGTACTTTTTAAAGCCGATGCGTATCCTTTGCAGCCATAACCTCGATTATACAGTACACTACAGACCGAGTTACGGTCTCTGGCTTGGAGGTACGTTAAACTGAAGTTTTACTATACACTCTGACTCACTGTAGCTGCATAATTATTATACTACGAATCACCAGTGACTCGGCTACCAGTTCTTTGCAAAGGTAATCAATCTTGTCAGACCAGTGGGAGAGCATAAGGAAGAGTGATGCACACCATAATGCCCACAGTCTCCACACATACCAGGATTATTCGACCCTACTAGAGGGTCTTGCTTCGCGCAATCACCAGGAAACTGAAACTGGAGACGAATCTTATTTTATAGGACTTTGTCACAGTTTGTGTGTGGAAACCTCTGAAGTACTGAGAACTCTCACCCGGGCCTGTCTTCAAGGACCAAACACCTTTGCTATGTACCCAGTTTGTCTTATCTTTCCAAGGATCTACGCTATGCACGTTGGCATTAATTTGAAGGGATTGCAGCTACAAATAATTTTATCATACAGTGTATGTACGGTCATGTATAGACACATACATGTACACGACACATACATCATAACATGTACAGTCATGTATTGTGTCTTGTACATGTACATGTACAAGACACAATACATGTACATGTACAAGACACAATACATGTACATGACATTGTTACTGATGTATCACTACCATTACTCCATGGTTTGACTCCAAAAGCCATCCACTTGGAGCGCATTCTTCGTGCTCCCAAGCTTCTGCATAATGCAGAGGCTCTCAAGAACTACAAAGGAGACATTCCCGAGTGGCTCGACTACTCCAGGCCAGGAGGCGAGGGGGTTCACAAGGCACCGCAGTAGTATGTTAGTTCCACTCAAGAGGCACAAAAAGCACACACGAAATCGACTTGCACTTTGGCGGGTCTTGTTTCCGCACTGGTTTTGGTCACCCCTGCTTGTAAAGTTGTAACAGTTCTACTATGACATTCTACCTGTAATGCACGCCATGGCACGTACTGACATGGCATGGCTAGGTTCCTAGTTTTCAGGCCGCTCCAGCGCAACGAGATCAAAGGCCATTCTTTGCAACTTACCGGCCGGTTACAGGCTCCGTTGGGCACAGTGCGTTGAATCCTCTCGCTCCTCACCGTCGTGGCACTGAGCGTTGGCGGAAGAAAGCACTTGAGAATGTCAGGAAGCGCTATTGGAGGTATTACCACGATACGCTCATGTCCTGATCCGCTTACGTTCTTCAAGTAACAGTTAATGCTCAGAAGGGTTCCTTTTTGAAGGGTCTTCTCTTCTCCGACACAGGACTCTTGCGACGTTCTCCAAGGCGAAGCACTGCGGGGCATCCACATCGATCTGTTTACTAATTGTTACAATCGGCATCAGTTACCGCCTTCGAAGATAAGTTGGGGGACGAACAAGCGCAGCGGAAAACGTATCCTGATTTGCACGTTCTGCGTGGCCTCAGGAATGATTCCAGCTTTCAGGACTCAATAAGACGTCTCCTGGATGTCCAATCACGTTCGACACCCATCTGTTACCATTTCTGCTCAGTTGAGACAGCGGAATTCGATGCCGCTCACCCTTATCTAAAGTCAGTTTCATCTATCTGACACACGCGGGTCGGAATCACCTTCTCATATAGCCTAAGCAAGGTTTGCCCCGCACGTGTGCTGACAGCGATGTGTCAATTGTGTCATTCCAGTCGACAAGGGCATCAGTTCATAACGTCACGTTTCCGCCGCACAGAACGGATATTGGGTTACAATAGTAATTATTCTGCCCTTCGCTATCTTAGCATCGGAACGTCACATTACACTGTCAACCCGAGTTTGACTTTGACTACTTGGCGGCAGGAGCTAAGGTATTACAAGATAGACACGAGCTAAAGGCGATACTCTTGGTCAAGCGGGCTAGCACTAGCCTGTGGCGTTATAATATTTGAGCGTATAGTCTTGAGTGCCATTTTACCATTCGGAGGGCATGGACGCATATATAGACTATAACACTCGCACGAATATCTCCTTCTCACTATGACTTGAGTGTGTATAATGAGTAAGATTGAGTACGAGTGTGCGAGACCTCAAGCCAAGTAGCACCGGTGGTGCTCGTCGTTATTGCCAACTCATCCGCAGCACTACTTGACACTGCCGTTAGCACAAGTACTTTCAGAGGGCCCTGTTTCGCATCTTCATTTCTGTTCGGTTTCAAAATAGTTGAGAGGTTTCATTCCAACGTGGACACATGCTTCCGAATGGGGTTCTGTTGGTGAAAGCTCTGTTTCTCTCACCCTGCACTGCAGTGTGTGTGTGTTTTCTCTCGTCACGTCATTCTCCTAACGCTCTACGTGGAGAATCGGTAGGGCTGCGTGAGTCAGGTTGAAGTAGCACTTCGACTTCTTGGCTCCTGCCCAAAGCGACCTGGCGCCAGAGGTCGTCGGATGCAATCTGCTCCCTTCTCGCTACTCGCTTCTCGCCCGACTCAACCAGCGCGCGTGCAAGCACAATGTGGTTTGATTTCCACTTGCTCAGTGCCAGAGTCTAGAGAACCTACGCCACGACCAATAACATTGGATGTATGCTCTCGTTGCGCCTGGTGATCGGGGTCAAGTCGGAAAAGGTCCCACTGCATGTACGTATTGTATCTCCGCTGTTATTACTCTGCGCCCATGAACCATTTGCCAGTCAGCGAACCCAGAGGTTGATCGGCAACGCCAATGCATGCCGTGAGCAAATCAGGTCAGTCGTGAGACTAACACACTCAGCACTCTGGACACCTTCTTGTCCCGAACACCCCGGGTACGTCTGTTTTACTACAGCCGGCTAATTTGCACAACAAAAAGGCGCGCTCAGAGGAGATCTTATCAGCTGATCTTGTTGAATTGTTGATGATCACAGAGCAGAACCTCTTCGTAATAGAACACCTACGGCAATATTTACAACCACAATGTGTATACTCCTTAGGTCCGGTCCGCAGAAGATCCTGATAACGTGCAAAGAGAGAGCTGACCATCGTGTGGTACCTGGACTGCACACATTGTACAATCATACATCATCGGGCAATCGCCGCTTGGGTATATGAGTTCAACATGCACAGTTTCAGAGCTCACACGCCTGGCTTTCGATCGAAGAACGGGGACAGGTTTTCGTCCGTACTTGCATCGACTAGTTTCCTCCTGTCCAGTGGTGTTTTGCTCAAAGCCGGGAGGGAAAAGTGTAGCAAAGACGTAGCTTCAGAAATCGCTGACACAATACGTTCACAAGTATGACCTCATGTCGATGCTGGTCCAACGGAAACGGCGAACTACTACTAGTACTTTTACTTGGCTGGATATATTTCCTTTCCTTCTTGGGCACGCTTTATTCCCTGAAACGTCACAAGACGCTCGTGTTTCCTCCCCTTGTCGCTGCACTTCCGACAGGAAAACAGATGGTGTTGCCGGTGTCGCGTGGTGTTTTGTCATCACCCAATCTACCTCAAAGTGATTTCTCCGATTCAGACATCCTCGTATTCGTTACTGTTACTCTGTACATGTATAAGTATAAGCCTAGACTGCGATGCAAGTAAACAATGCCGTTGGGTGCTGGCGATACAGTGTTACATCGTGTACATCTTGCACCATTGTCAATAGAGACGGAGTGTCTACCACTACTTTTGTATCAGCCTATCCTCACTCCGAGATGAATTGAGCACTCAAATAAATTAGTATCAAGCTGTGAATTAAAACAGAGAGTATGAACAGTGCACAAGGAACATACTGGGAAACCATGATAGCAGGATACACCAGGAGTCATAATATATCACCCCTGTTCGTATTTTACTACGAGTACAAGTACTCCCTTGTTGGAAATAATCTCCAGAGACAAGTGGAGACCTATGGAGGCAGTCTACGAGGACAGTACAATGGAAGGCGAGATAACGCGGACCTGGCGATTGAAGGGAGAGACAAATGTAAGGAGGTGGGAAGATACTATGCCATTTGGCAATGTCGATAGTTTTAGATCTTCATGCACGCATACAAGAACATTGTACATGTATGCGTTCAAGCACCTGAATGTTACCTGAAGGGTTCTAACCTTCAGCTGTGAGTTTGCCCAAAATTCCCACGTAACCCCGTTATCAGTGTACTTCAACTGAAGCTTACTAACCTCTTTGGGTTGCGGTTCAGGGAACGGTAACTGTATTGGAGTCAACATCGATGGTCCGCATGCCATTTCATCATCAACAGTACTGCTAGCAGGCATAAAAAGACTGAATAGAACCTCAGTTGAACAGAGGCATAACACAAGTGACCCGAAGGACTTTTCCGTTTCGTAAGCACCCTATTTCTTTCAGGAAGTAGTAAGATGCGGTATTTTGCTACTCCTGATTCTGTACGGTATAACACATTGTCCACACGTGTCAACTTTAATACTTGCGCAGTTGAATACCTGGGCTGGGGAATACAATGCCATGTCGCATACTGAATACAAACCGGTGTAACAATGTAATAAATCATGACAGTATTGATAACTATGGATGACAGGTTGCTCGACAGACACGGGTAATCAATACCGAAATGAAGACGAGCGAAGCGGCAGAATGTGTGCTGCCTCCACGACCAAGGACTGGAATTCTGCAAAGCATTATTTTCGGGTTGAACAATACGTGTGCAAGTCATGTACATGTACATGACCTTGTATTATTTTGACATTGTAGTCATGTAGATTGTACATGTAGTACTAGTACCGTCGAGCTTCATCATGAAGGATGCGAGGCGGGACAGTGTGCCGGCGATGGCGCCTCACGTCTCTGCAGTGACTTTTAAGTTAAAGTTAACTGCATTCCTAGGATGCTATGGTGGTAGATTGCCTCATGCCTTGTTTTGTTTTCGTGCAGTTTGCCCAGTCATGAGCTTGAAACTGTTCCTCCTCCCCAGATGCTCTCCAAATCGAAACACATTCCTTTATGATCCAAAAAACACGTGGAGTTCCAATACAAGGTACCACTTTGGGACTATGGCAAAATCCAGAACACTTGGCACTCGGAGTGTTTTGGTCACACGTGCACAGAACGGCTCGCTTCTAGGAGTGTTCCACTTAGGAATAACATTGTATGGTACGAGCACCTTTGTTGATATTTGTGAAATTGTAGTGAAAACGTGTTCAAGTCTCAAGAGGTTTGCGTTCAAGGAAAGCCGGCAGTTGACAGGAATATTATCATGGCCGTGCTCCTGAACAAAAATGAGAACGCATGGGTGCGTTCAAGCGTACGTGTGTCATTGCCCAATGGCTTTTGGGACAACAATAATAGAGTTATGAAGTCTCTTCTTCTTTTCTTTATTAGTGCATCTACAGTCGTGTCCAAAGAAATCCAACCCACTTGCCGAAAGCAGCGCCGAGGTTCATGCGGCCCCTGCTGCTCACGGATGGGCTAATGAGTAATGGAAAGTGCATGCTGTAATTAAAATGGAAACGCGGCGCTATTTTTGACTCGCGGGTCGGATTTCTTTGGCCAAGACTGTGGAGCGCCGAGACCTAAGATGGGCCATCTGCACCACATCTCACCATCCTTTTGATCATCGATTCTACCGAGCTTGGAGCCTTTGCACACTTGCCGAAATACATACACACGTAAGAGAAGAAGGCTGCGCGTCCATGTATGGTTCCACACCTTTTTACCTACACGTAGGCTACAGCTGCTCCGATGCGTAGTCACGAGCTACTCACTGAGTCATCGGGCCGAAAATGGCTGATTCAAAAACCACATCAGTGAAGAACACTGCCATTTTAAACTAAGTTGTTGTTTCCGAGCAGGGACATTCAAAAGTGAAGAATGGCAAGAATGCAAACGAGAATACCATTTTAAAACTACAAAATACAAATTGCAATACGAGAATGCGATAACTACAAAAATTAATACAATACAATCATGTACAAGTATATACAATGTACAATGTACAATGTAGCTAGAAAGCAATGGGACTGACTGGGTAGTGGCCAATGACAATGTAGCACGTTTAGCTTTCAAGCCCACTAAGTACCAAGCAACTTACATGTACATGACTATTGTTAGACTGACAGCATGAAACAAGGTGGAGGACGCTGTGTTCGGAAACAGTGATCTTACTACCCATGGCCGCGTCGGGACATCACCAACCCCGTCTACAGAGAGCATCTTCTCGCGACAGTGTCATGGTGGTGGCAGTAACTGTTGACGGCTGACGAGCTGAGAGAAGGACGCCATGGGCAGAAGTTGGAAGGAAAGAAGATTTTAAGAAAAGCAATTCAGGTTTAAGTAGCAACATGACTACCAGGACGACATCCAGGAGCGATCAAAGAATACACGACGGACGTAAGGAGAAGTCTAAAAACTCCCCTAGCATAATGAGGGTCAGAACCGGGTTCAACACCCATATGGTTCAAATGGTCCGAAGGGACCGGGGCTCTGCCAACCGCGGAAGGTTGTAGTAAGGTCACTGTTTCCGAACACAATGTCCTCCACCTTGTTTCATGCTGTCAATCTAACAATATTTGTGAACTACTTGTATAACAAGGTTTATAACCCAATACTAGTTTTGAACTAGTATTGGGTTATAATTATAATACCATGTCTGCTTTATTGTTCCAAGTATCAGTTTAGTTTAGTTTAAATATCTCCTATTATTATTATTTTATTTTTTTTCCTCACCCCACACCCCTCTACCCTGTTATCGGCCCTCTTAAGAGTTGTGTTCATCACTGTTGAGGCTTCCGATGGAAAATAAAAGAATACTACTACTACTACTACTACATGTACATGACTGTACTTCAAAAAGTATGTCTTACAAATCGCCTTATTACCATATTCTATCTTTTGGGACGAACACGTGCGATGCCACCTGTACCTTCATATTCAAGTACCTTGAAGAACGACCCTCGATCGTGGATGAGAAAACTGGCGATATTCGAGAGTTATCGCTATTGTGAGAATGGTTGAAGTACAGACTACAGTATGCAGTCAAAATGGTCACTGCACTAGGTGTGAAGATTAGCCAGTTATTCGCGAGTTATTGTTATACAGTAAAACCTGTAACTAAAGACCACCGTGACTAACGACCAGCCTGGTGCTACAGACCACTTCGCCAGGCTCGGACGGTCTCACATGGTTGTGCGGTGCAAACCTCTAACTAAGGACCACCTGCCACTAAAGACCGCTTTCTCTGGTCCCAAGGGGTGGTCGTTAGTCACAGGTTTTACTGTGCACGAGGTCGGTATTCGCGGGGTTGACTGTACACGTGCACAATAGTACTGCTCGATGAAATCCAGTCCAGTTTCTCAAGTACGCGCCGGGCGTTGCTCAGCCTGTAGACCTGCGAACTCTGGGCTGTGAAAAGGTCCACGGCGCCAACTATTTACTTGACTCCCGCGACTGGATTTCATTGGGCAGCACTGTACAAACTACAATCAAGTAATCAGGTGTTGAGGACATGGCTACCGGTATCTCCTTCGTCAGTCCCAGCAGAGGACAAGTGTTGGGATTTGAAGGTGAGAAGCGCATCGCTTTCCCTCACCTCGCCTTCCTTACTTGTCAAACATTATTCTTTCTATTAAAACTATGGAGCGGGCTTGTAGAGTGGTGCGTGCGGCTTTTCGCCATCATCACCTTCCAAACACCATTGAATCGACAAAAGTGCTGTAATGTGCCGTTTATAGTCTTGCAGTTCTGAGGAAGGCAGTACCCTGGCCTGGTGCCCTCCGGAACCTGAATGCTGATTCTGATCATGGTGGAGAGTACAACATATCAATACATTGGCACCAAGAGAGGGCGTTTCAGTGTGAACACTCCTAATCCGTTTGAAACCTGAAAGCGATTCGTAACCATTTCCCGATGTTGACGTAAATGGACAATAACAAGTAATTTTCAGGAATGTACATTGTAGCCTGACCAATGACCATAGTAAATACAATAATTTAAGTTCATGTACAATGTACATGACTTTGTACACCTCAAAGTCTCTAGCTTCCATCTACATGACTGCACATGTACTGTAGCCTCTTCGACTGACAGACGGCTGACCAACAAGACCATGTCACGTGCAATCCACCGTTATAATTATTTGCCTACAACAACAGCTCAAGTGGAGCGAAGGACGCATTGTTCACTGGAGGCAGCTTGAAGGGCAATGTCACGGAGTGTGTGTAGCCACATACATGTACATGTATGCGTGGGCGCTAGAGTCAAGACTTTCGCAACGCATAGACCTACGGACGTGTACGGTGTAGGTTATTTTAACTTATTACATTTTGTTTACTATGAACAAAGCCCTATTGAAGGTTGCAGGGAGAGTACATTCTCAAAAGTAGTGCAAGTCAAGTAACTACGAGGACAACGCCTCTGAGTCTGAACAGCCTTGTGATCGTACAAGGTTTGTTTTGGTATTATCATGGACAACTGCATGAAAGGAATGCACCACCAGTAAGGCAGTATCGTAGAATCGTTTGCCCTTGTACTGTACTGACGCTTCTCATCTCATATGCACCAGACTCGATTACGATGGGTGAATACGTACACACATGTGCTTCCTAACCACAACGTGGACACTGCCCATTGCAGTGTGCACATACATGTACATGTACATTCTCCTATACCCAGTCCGTGTGAAAGGGAGATACACGTAGCACGAATCAGTCCTTTCTGATTTGTAGTTTCTGAATCGCAACACCGATGTCTTTCTCAAGCGGTGACTGAATCATTCAGGCGCCACCTTTCTATCAAATGACATGTTTTAATTTAATAATGAAAGGATATCTGAGCTCTTCTAGCTCTAATCTAGTGCACCCAGTCTGGTCAAGACATGCAGTAGGGCTCTGATAAGACGCACACCCTTGGGCAGCAGGGAAGTGTACATGTACATGCACGTAGTATCCGACGTACCAGTACTTCCTTACTCTATTACATAAGTTACTTCTGTATTGATCAACACGCGTGTAATCAATTATGTCCGTACTAAGCGATGCTACCAGCATGTGTCTTGTCAGAGAACACACTACATTCTAGCGGGTTCCAACTTCCATGGTTCATAGGAATGATGGGAAGCCTGTACAGTTCAGTCAAACGTCTGCTCTGGGAACACTAGGCGTAGTACTGTACTCGTGTATGTATGTCATGTGCTTCTTCTATGCAGCAACAAAAAGAAGAAGAAATAAACATCATAGAAAGATACGAAAAATACATGGGCCTACAATTTAGTGTGCTCCTGGGGACGGACCGAATAGAATCAACACTCCAGCTGAGCCCTGATTGGCCTGAACATCTCGCCACACCCTACCATGCATAGACTTGAACTAAAGGTCGTTGTCCACAGACTTATAATAGCTGTCTTAGACGGTTACATTCAGCCGGGACTCGCCTCACCAGAGAATTTTATCGGCTTTCACCTCCCATAGCGATGAGACTCGTCTCATGTACACTGTTCCTTGATCCTAAAGTAGCTGTTGAATGAACGATTCAATCATTGCCCAAGGCAACAGTATCAATCTCATTGTGCAAGTACATTGGAGACCCGATCCAAAATTAATTACTGGTAAAGCTACATACCGGCATATGGATTGATGGTGATGAAGTACATGTACATGTACATGTACTTTATCACCAATAAACCATGTACAATGTACAACATGTACATGTAGATACCAGGTAACCTGTAAGGTGCAATCCATCTCCCTCTTTACGTAACGATCGTTATTTACAATGGCATTGTAGGCATACAAGTACAATGTACAGTAGGTATCGGTTATAGCGTGGGTGTTTGAAAAACGACTTTCTGTTCTTATTTCCGATATTTCTTACACACGATAAATCAAGTGTGGCATATCATATGCATGTGCGCAGGGGCAGGAAGATCATCGTACATGCAACGCAGTACTTCTGTACATGTGGCTGGTCATAGTCCCATAGGCCTACCATGTGGCCATGCAAAATGAGTTACATGGCCACAACAGTTGAATCTGCAGCACTACGACGCAACGAGAGTCACATCAGAATGGCATTGGACAGATGTTATTACTACATGCGATACACTTTGTACTAATCTGGCATGTTTCGCTACAAAAGTCCATTCTTAGGACCGATATATTCCACTGTGGGATAAAATTGCTTGTAAGAATAAATGTGCACTTGAAATCCATGTTATGATTATGAAAACATGAGAGTTCATTCTTGTAGGCAGTATATTCTTTTACACGACCACGCTATAACCGATACGCACTGTATGTCCACTTGCATTTTGTGCTGGCATGTTCAAAGCACCTCCTTTCTGTGATGCTAAATATACGTCAAAGTGCTGTAAGGCATTTCCCACTTAATGAATTACATGTACTAGTGTATGGCACACCATAGGCATAGCTCATCCCTGGCCTCCACCGAAGGTCCCTGGTTCGAGTTCTGGTGATGAGAGTCACTTTGTTCCCTCAAACCAGTGAATAATAATTATTATTACATGTACCGTAAAGTACCGCCAGAGCGCCCCACCATCTCATCCTTTCGAATTTCGTGGTCGTTTTGTGGAGGTGATCTGCTGTCTGTAGGTCATACGACATGAACCTTGTACACATATTGCACGTTTTGCAGTCAATCCGTACCTTCAAGCGCTCACAAGCTCTACACAAAAGCCTGCGAAGTGTGACCTTATTCTCGCACCGTACACACTTCGTTGCACTCTGCCATACGATTTGCCTTTCTCTGGCTGTAAAATCAAGGTGGGGCGCTCTCGCGAGACGGGGCGCTCTGGCGGTATTTTACGGTACATGTACCTCAGCGATGAAAGCCTGCCAAGGTGACCTCCCGTCCTAGAGAACCACTACAACCTGGACTAGCCTGGAGGGATGTACAGTAATACCTGTCAAGGCGACCACTCGGATAAGGCGACCACCTGTCCTAGACGACCACTGGAACCAGGCCCAAGGGATGCTATTTCCAGTCAATTAACCCTGGATAAGGCGATCACCTGGTAACAGAGACCACGTTTTGAAGGTCCCTTGAGTGGTCGTCTTAGACAGGTCTCACTGTATTCCCAGTCGAATGACCCTGGTTAAGGCAAGCAGTCAAACACCTGTACACGGAGGCCGCACTTGTAAGGTCCCTTGATCTTGAGCAGTTGGCTTACACTGAGGTTCAGATATGAAGTACTTTTCCAAGGAAGTTGACGCCTCCCCACACTGGAGCTCGGACTTTTCAGTTGAGCTTGAGTAGGCTGAGGAAGATTGCGCCTGAAGAGCATTCCTTCAGGCCAAACCACCACCAGCCGTACACACTTACAAAGACTCTCCGTTTCCTGCGCGACAAACAACTCCTGAGCTACAGGCATTAGTGTGATTCAGTGTCCCTCATGCCGGGATAGGTAGAATAGGTTGAAAACCCTCAAAACACGCTTCTAATTCGTCTGGGTGAGGAACAATGTGAAAAGCAAATACACGACACCATGAGTGGGATATACGGCGCACTTCGCAGACTTCCATAGCAAGTTTCACGTGTAACCCCACAGCCGGACACGAAAAACCAAGAAAAGAAATTTGATGCAGAAGCAACTTTAAGTTTTATAGATAAATGAAAAAATGTGACTCAACTGAAGTAGCTTGCATGTTTTTGATACCACAGAATGAGAGGTGCTGGACTTGTAACAGAAAAAAATAAATAGCCAACTGAAGTAATCCCGTTGATGCGTTACTTTTAAAATTGAGTAGAAATGGAAGGTCCAGGAGACGAGGAGTGCATTTGCATGCAACTGCTTCCCCCCCCCCCCAAAATGCAGATGGTCAAAATTAAACCAAGATGAATGGCGCATGATGAAAATCTAACTCGTATTACTCATTGTAAGTAAATTAGTTGGAGAGGGCCATGCTTTTGCAGTTCTGGTGAACCAGAGCTAGAACGTTTGATCATTACCCGTTCTCTCAAGTCCTATAGTTCCAACTGATGAGTAATAATTGTGAACAAATTGAAACACTAAGTTAAAGGGATACCTGTACTGAAGTAAGTTTAGTTGCTGATAGCAGCGTATGTGCCTCTTAAAACTCAACGTACCAGTTACGAGTAGCCAGCCTACTTGCAAGACTATAGATCCGGTTCTTCAACAGTAATGGGGAAAAGGCGCAAATGAACCCACGCTTCTTGGGTTTTACATCAACAGTATTTACTATAATTGTACTAAACTCCGACTTCTAACCGAACCTAACTCCCTAACGCTCATGTCCAGTAGATTCTTTGCGCCTGTAACTATACTTGTAATAATTATTATTATTATCGATTTTGTCCGTTGTGCAATTTTTACACTGTTCTAATTTCTAGAAAAAAATCATCATGATATCAAATGTACCATGCTATGTATGATGGCAGCATTACTCCTAAAAGCGTGTTCAACAGAAAAAGCCCCTGCGGACATTTGAGCAATGTTCATCATCCTTCGGTGTATACTTAGACAAGCGTCGACGGCCCATCGATAAGTATGTCGGGAGGTGGTGCGCGGCACTGTTCAGCAGTGTCCGAGCAGTTCGTCTCGATGCTCGGTGACTCGGAAAGGTCATGAAGCAAGGCGCATTGCGGTGTATCGTACTCCATTGACTTCTGCCGCGGGAGTGACTTGAGGGACTTTGTACTGGGCCTTTTCGGCGCACCACCGCTACGTTGCTGCTTCGATTCTTCTTTGACTTCAGCCCGACCAGCAACATCACCACCAGCAGCTGAGGAAAAAGCAGCAGATGCCGTAGCATTCTCAGGACCATCCGTGCTGTCATCTGCATACTCTCCGACATCAGCTGCGCTATCAGCCGAGCGCTGCAGCGTGCCTGCCCACGGGGGGAGCGCCTCCATCACATCGATATCGGATGTCTCCGTACGAGTGCTTCGCACCGAGGATGTGGTAGGCCTACCCGGAGCGGACATGCACTTCTTCGCACTTCGATCACGTGCAGGACTCATGTCATCCGCTGCTGTTGCCTTTGCTGTCTGCATAGACGTGGCAGCATCCTCGTCCTCTTCTGGGATTCCGATCGGGACGGATTTCTGCGATGTCTGCGGCGAGTGCGACAGTAGCGAGTTCGATGTCAGCGAGTTACGGCCTTGGCCCTGGAGTGAGCCGAGCGATTGCATTTGCAGAGACGAAGGCTGAGAGGTGCCCTCACTACTACCACCCAGGGACAGGCGCTCCTGCTGCAGCTTCTTGCCGAGAGTCATGGCCACGTCCTCCACTTTCACGAAGAGACCGCTGTGCGGGAGTGGCTGGCAAGATGGCGAGAGCATTGGTACGTATCGTATTCCTGAGGAAGCGAGGGACAAAGAAGAGAAACACGGGGAGAACAGGTATAGTCAACTCTACTGCATAGAACAGCACATGTACATGTAGGTTGTTTCTCTTATTGTTATCGTGCCTTGCTGCTTTCTCTCCTCTCTCCTCTCATCCAAGCCATTCAGCGTACGCGCAGCTGTGGACTCAGCATCCTGCTGTTCCACTTCAACGCGGAAATGCTAATACAGTAGTAGTAGAACCGCTCATCAAGGTAGTGCAAACAGCATAATACAGCTTTGATTCTCCGACCCCATCTGGGCCGAACCCCTTCATGACCGGATCAGATAAGTAACATGGTCTGAAAACTAGTATCCATGTCATTAAGATTATTTCCAGCACAATGTCCACTCACATTACGGAGAAAGGCACGTTCTCACTGAACGTGTCATCATTGAAGCATTCAAAAAACAGCCTCTGCGCGTGCCTACATATTAGTCAATTGACAGTCATTTGTAAACTGAAGTCCATAGTTCCTACATTTAGCAAATAATACAAAAAGGCTCTTTTACGTTACACGACCCACAGCCATTTCTGATAACTAAGCGAACAAGGGTTCTAGCCAGGTCAAAATAGTAGGGGGGTGGGCATGGGAAACAGTTACCCTATATCCCATTTTTCCACTTTCCAATATCGTCTTGCCACACCAAGTGCAACGTATGGGGCGAATCCCTGACTTCACCCCAAGACAAATGTGCCTTTATGAACCATCTATGCATGAAAAACACGAAAATCGGAAAATGAGTAGGGTGGCGGCAATTTTTCACAGGGGGGCGCGCAAACAGAGTAGGGGGGCGCTGCGCCCCCCCCCCCCCCCTCCTTTGGCTAGAACCCTGAGCGAACTGATACTCGTACCTGTAGATGGAGTTAGGGTAACTGAAGTTAAAACATCCATTGCATATGACCTATCGTACTTGCGCTTATACACCGCCAGAAACTGGTCATATGAGTTTACCCGGGATAGGGGAGCCACGCATGCAGGGACACACAAGTAGGCACGCGGGCACACACATACGCACGTGCACACACACACACACACACACACACACTCTCTCTCTCTCTTTATCTCACCGTGCTTGAGACTCGTCACGGGATAGCCGTTCTGCGCGTACAGCACTCGACTTCCGCGTATGTGGTAGACAAGGAACATCACGGTGCACTGGAAGGAAACACGGCAGACAGCACATCAAGCATCAAAGCAGTACACAGCCAAACTGAGATCGTCATTCAGGAAACACAACAGCATTATTAGGCTAAAAGAATGCACGGGTTCGCGCACGTGGCGGGGTCAAGAACCACCTTTTCGCTTCCGTGGGATGCCACCACCCCATGATCAGGCGTCAGATGCGGCTCCTGAACGACGGGGGGGGGGGGGGGGGAGGATAGATCAGATCCACCAACCCCATGCCAAAGGCTTAAAACATGCAACTAACATTGCTATAGTGTGGCCCCATGTTTCCGTATGTTTGCGTGTTTCTGTGTGCGTTTGTGTACGCCCGTTCGTGATGCTGCATGCATGCTCATGTGTATGTACATAGTTGATTCACTTGCGAAGCGAACACTGTACAACGTACCATCTCCGGCATGACCAATCTCAAAGGAGGTGCTGCAGTGAGTGGAGTGAACTCCGGTGACAGTGTATTGCTACCGAGCTGTACAGGGTACAGGATGGTATAGGGAGAGCACAGAATTAGTGTATGTCACCAGCTTGGGGACAATGTAGGAGAACAGGACATCAGTGGGGGTTCCCCCTTCGAACCCACGTGCACACACACACACACACACACACACACACACACACATGCATGCATGCACGCATGCACGCGCGCACGCACACACACATACACACCTGCACCCAATCATGCATACACATGGAAAGACAAACAAACACACACACACACACACATATGGAGAGCACCACATGACACGTACGCATGCACCGTCTTACTAGCTTTCAGACCATATCTCTAAGAACAGTAGTGGGGACTTCCCCATGCCACCACACACGTGCACACAAACACACACACACACACCACTTGCCCCCCCCCCCCCCCCGTCCCGTTATGCGCTTTCATTCCAACTAAAACTAAAAACTAGCCTAGCTTACAACATACTATCAAGAGTACATAACCCCAAGAGTGTGCAACTGCCTGCACAACCTCTATGCAGTGTTGCGACGGCAGAACTTCACATCACGTGACATGGTTCAAAAGGTTACATTGGCAAACAGTGCAAAGTGAACACAAGAGAGCTGTACCCAAAGCTGGGTTTCGTACAACCCCGTGTCAATCATGCACAGAGTGCAAATCATGTGTACGTGTACGTGAATGTGTACGGGTTCATCACGTGATGTGAAGTTCTGCCGTCGCAGACCCCATAGCTGGAGTTGCACACTCTTGGGGGTTATGTACTCTTGGTACTATCAATTGCATGTTTACGGATTGCGCTAACTAGACCATCACCAGACTTGCGTCAAGGAGTCCAACACGATTGTCATGGCATGTATCAATGCAACTGTTTCAATCCACACTTTCAGTCAATCCTCGGTAGTATAGTGGTAAGTATCTCCGCCTGTCACGCGGAAGACCCGGGTTCGATTCCCGGCCGGGGAGGACATTTCTTTTTTCTCGATATTAAATTCTTTTTTTCTCGAGTCCCATCTACATCTATACACAGGTCATTTACTTGGGCACTGCTGCTGTCTTCGTAGTGACCCTCCAGGCGATGCGCTGATGTGGGTTTTTTGTTGCTTTTAGCGCTGGCCGTACCCACATCTTTCTCCTCTCCTCTCACCACTTTCACTTCATCTCGCCCCTCTAAAACTTGCAGACAAGGTGGTAGTATGTCCCTCAGTGCTGTTGGTGTCTGTCATCCTAGGTCACACCGCCCAGCTCTCGCATGTGTACAGGCAGACCTCGCTTAGCCGCACACATCCGTTTTGCACCAAAATATCCGGACAGGCGAGAGAACCGGATAATCAAACACACATACTGTATGTAGGCATGCCATGTGCTGTAAATCGGTAACCAACGATTTTCTTCCGGATGGCGAAGGATTCGGACAAAAGAGGACCGGATAAGCGAGGTCTGGCTGTATATGACACTGTTGGTACATATCATGCACTCGTGCACTAAGGTACCCATGCTTGTTGCAGCCTATATCACCCTAACAGTGCTGTCAGTTCTGTCTGCTGATGTTTGATACTCCGAGCAGCAGCAGCAGCAGCAGCAGCAGCAGCAGCAACACTTTATTTCCATTTCTCCATACCTCTTCCATGTGACATGTGCTACCTAATGTACCAGCCTGCTACGTCGGATAGCGCCAGTCTTGAATCGACTAGGGCGCCAGGCGCGAACTGATGGTACTGGTGGTGGTGAGAAGGAGAGCTCCGTGCCAGAACTTTGCAGCCTAGAGAGCGTGTGTGGGCAGGCGTGTATATACCGCCATATTGCCAGGTGTGTCTTTACCACCATTATTAATCAACCATAAGTACAGCTGCAGTGGTGTCTTCAACTTCATTCTCCATACCTGTAGCAATTTTCTTTACTGAGATTCAAAACAGATAGATTACAGGTTATGATAACAGTGTACTAATGGATTGAGTACAGAATATTGTATTCGGTATCCCTCATTCCATTTCATCAATCCTACAGGAAACGATGCCTTCTAACCAACCATGGGCTGGCTACTTCAGACTGATTAACACAAATATTCGAATAGCACTTACCGCAACACCAAATGTCACACTTGCGCTGTCGGACTGTATTCCACTGATGACGACATCCACCTCCACCGTTGGAACGGAGCTGCCTTGCGGATTGAACAGACATTGCCCGCTCATCACCTAGCCATGAAGAGAGAGAGAGAGAGAGAGAGAGAGAGAGAGAGAGAGAGAGAGAGAGAGAGAGAGAGAGAGAGGAGAGAGAGAGATAGGTAGATAGAGAGAGAGAGAGAGAGAGAGAGAGAGAGAGAGAGAGAGAGAGAGAGAGAGAGAGAGAGAGAGAGAGAGAGAGAGAGAGAGAGAGAGAGAGAGAGAGAGAGAGAGAGAGAGAGAGAGAGAGAGAGAGAGAGAGAGAGAGAGACGTACAGAACCACAGTACAGAGAATGATTGATCAGGCCTTTAGGTCATGATTCATTGCAGTTTGCAATGATACACAGAAGAATGAGTAAAAATATGAGCAGACTAATACAAATCACAATCCATGATAGCGCACATTGGCGAGGGAATTGAGCAAAGTTCGGTCACAGGCCATTTTAAGTCAGGTGCATGTAGAGTATTCAAACAGTTATACAATTCTGTGCATATCCTGATAGAAGATCCATCCCTTTTCTGACCTTGATCTCCAGGAACATGTGATTGACACTGTGTAACTGTAAGGACATGTCGAATGGGTTGTACTGCCGATACCGGTTATCCTCTGCACACAAACATTAGCACAGGAACACGCAACAGTGATAGCAATAGTCATCGGGACCATCGCAGGCACAAGGAAAAGTTTCAATGGCTGGACACATCAGACAGTAACTTTAGCCCGGGAACTACAGTGAAACATGTCTAAGACTTAGTAAGACGGTACATGTAAGTAGTACGAGATTCAAGTACAGAAGGACATTATCAGTCCATGGGGTGTAAGGCTTCTAGTGTACATCTAGTAGTTGCTATCTGTCTACAATGCCTTTGGTATTCACATGCGCCGTGGTCCAATTCTCAATCAGGCCAGGGCATAAGCATAACTTGTGTCATTCAAATCGGGTATTGTACTTAAAGATCCAGCTATATTGGTGGTTCATATCCGTAGGACCATTCTTTCTAACTGAAGACGTATAACATTGATCGTACACTAGTGTCTGACGACACTTCCAGCCCCTGCACTGGACAGTGTCTGTCGGATGAACACTATTCTGTTGCGTAATTTTGGATCACACACCGTGCCAGTCAACCTACGACTCAACTTTCCGTTTCCATGCTCTGTACTAGCGACTTTTTTTCGACTAGCTGTGCTTACCTGACTCTGGTTCTCTGAGACAAGCTGGTTTCAGGACATATCCACAGCCACCGTTGGCACGGAACTTGGCATGGTTGAGCATGATAGGGATATCTTCACACACAAACAAGCACCCAACCACATGCAAACATACACTCACTCACACACACACACACACACACACACACACACACACACACACACACACACACACACACACACACACACACACACACACACACACACACACACACACACACACACACACACACACACACACACACACACACACACACACACACACACACACACACACACACACACACACACACACACACACACACACACACACACACACACACACACACACACACACACACACACACACACACACACACACACACACACACACACACACACACACACACACACACACACACACACACACACACACACACACACACACACACACACACACACACACACACACACACACACACACACACACACACACACACACACACACACACACACACACACACACACACACACACACACACACACACACACACACACACACACACACACACACACACACACACACACACACACACACACACACACACACACACACACACACACACACACACACACACACACACACACACACACACACACACACACACACACACACACACACACACACACACACACACACACACACACACACACGCACCACAGAATGACCCTGGCGTACGATATCCACGGCGGACTAGAGCCACCGGTCATCAAATCCCTCTCCTATCTAAATTGCTGGTCGTCTATGGCATCCATCTGCTTGGACTATGAGGTATGTGCTGAGCCAGGGAGGAACATTAGTTCTGAACGGAAGCAGAAAAGACCAGCGATTCTCTACCACTAAGCTATGGTGTAGTCGTCGTCCAAGCAGCGACAGTTCAACATTTCCCCCAGACTTCCAAAACTCACGCTTCCCGTGAATCCACACAGGCTCCCCAAGTCGTCTCTATGCTACACCAATGAATGAATGAATGAGTTCATTTTTCAGCCGGTGGTGTAACTTAGAGACCGCTTGTAGAGTGTTGCAAGGATGTATGGTTAACTCACACACAATTCTATCAATGAATAGTCAAGGGAAATGAAGCAGGAGGGAGCAGAGACAAAAAAAAAAAAGCACGGGTTCGCGTACAGGGAGAGTCAAGAACCGCCCTTCCTCTTCCATGAGACGCCACCACCCCAAGATCAGGCATCAGGTGCGAGCCAAGCAGACACAAGTAACATTAAATTTCACTCACCTGGAGTTTGGTAATTCAACGCAACCAGCTGTGCACCGCAATTCCACATCATCTGTGGGTCGTAGTTGGATGATGATACGCGCGTCCCCGCGGGGTAGATGCGAATGAGCTGCCGCGATGTGCAGTCAATGAAGTCTGCAGTGCATTACACAAACATCAGCGAGTAGATTGCAGGATATTGACCAGCATCCTAGGGTTCTGGCACCCAGAGTGTAAGTAGCAGTCTACAAAGAGGTGCCCTTAAGCTAGCAGAGAGGGCTTGACACAATAACGTCATGGCAATTTTCTGTGCCGAATCAATAACTACCAGCCCTCACCAAACAACTGTATGGTTTATATACTGGCCAAGTCCCACTGAACGTGTCATAAGTCGCCCCATGATTGCCTTGTGCAACAAGCACTGAGTTGCGACAAACTCTTCAAACCTCGTTTGTGCCATTTTTGTGTAACTACTCATCTATAGAGATCACGCGACATGATGTCAATCTATATGTAACAGTGCAGACTTGTCTCCGCAATGTTCCTCACCTTGCATTTACTACCTAGCCATTGTGCACGGGTATTTTCTCACCACATTTTCCAAGCTTAGTATCTTTCCTTTTCTCTGCTCTCCCTTTTTCATAGTCGTTCTAACTTTGTGGGTGGCTGTCCATTCGATTAGCAACGTAAAATTGTTATGAACACCACTACAGACGCATCAAGTCACCCAGGCACGCACACATTGCCCAAAAACATCAAGCACCATGTGGAATGTTCTATGGCCGAAAGAAAAGGAAAAAAATCAGGTTCTACCGAGATTTGAACTCGGATCGCTGGATTCAGAGTCCAGAGTGCTAACCATTACACCATAGAACCCTGCACACTCAACCGAGACCAAAAATATTCTCTAAAAACTTCAAAAAGATAGGAACAGAAATAGAAGTGAGAAGACTGCAGCTGACCCAGTTGCCTGTGGGTACTGTGTACCCAGTACATGTATACAATATACAGAGGAAAGCTTTTTAGAACAAAATCGAAAAAAGGGTTATAGCAAGAGTACATAACACCCAAGTGTGGCAACTTCAGCTATGGGGTCTGCGACAGCAGAACTTCACATGACGTGACAAACTCGTACACACTGTTTGCACCTTGTGCATGATAGATATTAGTTACAGGGTTTTACGCAACTTCCCTGCTTTGGGTTCAACTCTCTTGTGTGATCACTTTGCACTGGTTGCCTGGTGGTGTGCAGCTCTGCCGTCGCAGCACTGAATCGAGGTTGTGCAGGCAGTTGCACACTCTTCGGGTTAAGCACTCTTGCTTAGAGAGGTGATGTGAATGATGTCATGGTGTTTAAATAACCGACGAGGAGACAACAGTCGTAAAATAGCAATGAAAAATATCAATTGTGCACTCATAACCACGTATAAACAATTAAAATGAAACAATTCCAGAACGTAAAAAAAAGAAAAGATAACGTTCTGGAATTGTTTCATTGTAATTGTTTATACATGGTTATGAGTGCACAATTGCGATGTCATGGTGGTTAATCTAATGTGCGCTAAGTACATGTATGCAGCGTGAGCCGCTAGTGCAAGTGCAGCGCTGTGCTGCGCGTCCGCCACTTTAAAAACACAAATGCGTATGTCGGGATAGAGTCATTTACAGAGCAAGTCGTCACAAAAGAAAAGAAATCTGATTTCAGATACCGACTGACCCGGGCAATAACTACGCGTGCTTTAGAACCAACCTCAAGGGAGGGACATCTGTCAATGGTTAAGCAACAAAAAAGGTTCTACCGAGATTTGAACTCGGATCGCTGGATTCAAAGTCCAGAGTGCTAACCATTACACCATAGAACCCTTGATATCTCGCCTCACATTGTAGCATCTCAAATTGAGGCCAAACATTGTCACGGGAACAAAAAAAAAACCCAAAAACCCAATCATTGTGAAGAGGAGCACATGAGAATACTGCCTACCTCTGTAATTTGTTTTGCCCCGTCTGATGGCGTCACCCTCGTTGAAGCTATACATCTGACAGCAGGAGTGATTCTTCGTTCCCTTCCAGCCGGGAAAGTGCTCCGCTTTGCAGAACACGACCAGATGACTTAGCTCCTCTTGCTCAATCTGAACACCATGGAACAGTGAAGTGGCAACTTTAGTCAGCATCAGAAAGCAACCAGCCATATACCTCACTTAAAACACCCAATTGGAATAATACTCGAGCATTTCCGTACTATACACGAGTGAAAACAAAGGATAGGCCATTTTCCAAATACTTGATAACACCAAGCCAAGACAGGAGGAAATGCACGAGAGTTACAAAATTGGCTTTTCAACAGAACACAGCCCAAAAAACTATAGATTGGCATAAACAAATGTTTACTTGTATGCGGTGAACATGCATGTTCTGATTATTTTATGGGTGATTCCTAGTTATGGGCAGTTTCCGGTCCCAACCTGCCTGGATATGGGGAGTACATGTATAGGTATTTCCCGGTCCTAACCTGCCCGGATATGGGCAGTACGGGCAGTGTCCGGTCCCAACCTGCCCCGATATGGGAGTACGGGCAGTGTCCGGTCCCAACCTGCCCGGATATGGCAGTACGGGCAGTCTCCGGTCCCAACCTGCCCGGATATGGGAGTACGGGCAGTCTCCGGTCCCAACCTGCCCCGATATGGCAGTACGGGCAGTCTCCGGTCCCAACCTGCCCGGATAAGGGGTACGGGCAGTCTCCGGTCCCAACCTGCCCGGATATGGGAAGTACGGACAGTCTCCGGTCCCAACCTGCCCGGATAAGGCGTACGATCCCAATCTGCCCGGATAAGGGGGTACGGGCAGTTCCCGGTCCCAACCTGGCCGGATTAGGGGAGTTGTAGTGTACACCATACTCACCTCCTTCTCTTCAGCCGCCGTTCCACTCTGCACCCACCTCTCCGCTTGGTCGGGCTGCTTACACACAGTGCCTGTTGCGTTGGTCAAGTCCGGTGTGTCAGACGCACGCGCTGCGGCCTTCTCGATTGCCTGGATGTAGCGAGTTCGAGTCTGGATAGTGGGTAATGGTAGCGATAGTACAGGCAGCCATATTCAACTAAAAAATTTAGCCCATAGCGATCCATGGACCCTTAATTGTTCAAATCAGATTGAAATGTGTCTTGTGGGTTAGTGTGGAGTTCTTCAGGCCACTGTACCCATGATGCTGGCATTTCTCTATCACTTATGCTGTGTCCTGGTCGAAGATCCGCGGGTTGTCACATGAACTTAGCCTTTACACCACATGTGTACGCACAGATTAAACAATCTCACTTATCCAGCCGCCAACTAAGCCGAGTACATTGCCGGCATACAACAAGCTAGAGAGTGCTTAAATTATGACTCTAAGTCAATCACTATCACACAAAGAATGTCTGTAGTTCAAGCACAGCTTATTTTGGTTAATGCTTATACATGCACGTGATCGTACATGTATTTGAAACGCCGGACGGTACTGAAGCCTGGATAACATGGCCGATAAGTACATGGCAAACAACACATGTGTATCTACAGTAGGTGGCTGGTGGCCTCCTTACTCACCTCCAATGAGGCTTCCGTCTTCATCATTTTTCGTCGTTCAGCCTTAGTGAGTCCGTCCATCTGGTCTCCGTCACTGTCCGTGTTTGAGGCAGTTGCTGGCGAGGCTCCTCGAGCTGGTGATTGGCTGAAACTGTTTCGCTCAATTGACATGGTGAACGCCAATGAAGTCAGTGACCTTGTCAGCAGGCTGGGTTTGCTTGCAGCTGAAGCTGCTTTTGCCTGACAGTGTACAATTAGAGGGAAGGAGAGGGGAGGGAGAAGAGAGAAGAGAGAGAGAGAGAGAGAGAGAGTGGGGGGGGGGGGGGGGGGGGAGAAGAAACGAGAGGAAGAGACACGGAAAACGATACAATGATACATAATTTGAAAAAGACTAGGGGGAGCCCCCCCCCCCCCCCATGACTGTGCCTAAACCCCACTCGATTATAGTCAGGAGCCTCACAGGTACTCACTGCAACAGCATGTATGGGCATCGGTGCTTGTTCAGAACTGCCGATGCATATTTTGTGGTATGTATTTGTATCATAAAAGCAATGTTAGAGGAGAAGGAAACATCAGCAGGTTGAGATCATAACCCTTAAAAGTTAAAGGCAGAGTTTGGTCTTCTGATGGTCTCACATGCTAACCTCTGCACAATATGTGCATGTCATAGATCACCCAATTTCAACCATATCCACCACCCTGCCTCCCCGCTCACTGCACATCAAATCTCTGTCTTACCGACATGACTACAGTAAGATAGGTTTGATGGCTGTACCGACTTTCTCATCACGGCCGCCTTTACCTTTTCACTCTTGCCTTTCAGAATGATCTTCCGCTTCAGCTGCTCCGGTGAAGGCAGCCGACACTGTTCTTCATCGACCAAAGAGACGTCCGTAGCCAGCATCTCGCCAAGAACATTCTGGAAGATCTCCGCCATGCGTTTCTGAGCAGTTTGAACAGATTCAAAAGTTTCAACACACTTCTCAAAGTGCAATGACTCCACCATCCACTATACCCATACATCTTCACAGCACTCTCCACCCGGTCGGAAGATCCTGAAGATAGGTCCTGCCCGAACATTCGAACGATTATCTCTTTTTTCTTTTAGTGATTGGTGTAGTTCAGAGACCGTTTGGAGAGTGTTTTGAAAGATGAACGGGTATAGATTCCAAACACAGCGAGAAAGATGTTGACTCTGTACAAGTGATGCATCTCCACTTTGCTTAGTGCACATATCACATGACCCTGAAGTAACATATTCATGTGACTGATAGGTAGAAACATTAAAAGAATCCTCACCTGCTGTGGTTCACTGCAATGATTCTCCAGTGACAGGATTACCGGATACTCGGAGGCGCGGAAAGCATATTCCTGCAAGAACGAGGAGGAGGCGAAAGAGCATAAGTTGGAAATAGTCGCCATATGCAGAGATAGTGTGGCTTTAAAAGTAAGGAGGTGCAAAGGAAAACCTGAAAACTATTGATTGTGACCAGCATGCTGAAATCACACCAGGGATGCTGTATTATGATGTGTATAGTGTAGTCGTCACTCGTCATCCTGACGACATCAGTGATACCTTCACAATGATAATGGATCGGAGTGTGCACAATCTGTGTCTACAGTGCATATCTCAACTCTGTGTGACAATGCAAGCATTTTGACAAGCATAATGGGTTGTGGGCGCATGTTTGGATAAAAAGAAGTTTCCCCCAGCAATTAGGGGTTTCACTTATCATGACTCCACCCATCGTTGATCTTAGTACGGGTAGAGATCTGTTATAGCGTTGGTGTTTGAAGAAGTGTGATTTGATCACTACACTGAGACGAATAACACTACATGCGATTGGACAGGGTAGTACTGTGACTTCAAAGTAAGGTATGTGAGTGATAACTTTACGACTTTGTCATTATGACATACAGAAATAGACGTGCATCATACATGTAAATACCATACCGAGACTTGTAAAGTACAAAAAAAAAAAAACCTGTATCTACCCTATGACCACAATGCTGGTAGTACACAGCATACACACAATCTCAGTTTCCCAAAGCTTCCAGTGGGTACCATCAATTACTATAAACGATCCATAATGTATGCAATTGAGTGGTTTTGAAGTGAGAATTTGATCACAATAGGCGATCATATTTCTATAACCGATTACTCTTATAACCGGTTTAGTTAAAACAGAGAGGTTCCAGGCTGTCCAAGAGAGTGCTCAATTCCGAGTGGTAGAGCTGGTTCAAACAATAGGAGGACAGAGGAAGTGTTTTTACTCAGAGTTTCACGCACTAACTCTGAGTAAAAACACTTCCTCTGTCCTCCTATTGTTTTAACCGGTTTAGTTAGAGTGGAAAAGATACTTTTGCTTTGATTTTGAAGCTGATAGCACTATAACCGCCAACCCTATAGCCGATCTCTACCTATATACCAGGACACTCAAACTCGGAAACATTTACCCTGAATCTTAACACAAAACACAACAAATTATATTTTACTTCAGCAGGTGGTTAAAATTGCTTGTCAAGTTGAAGTCGCATTTTTTTAATGAAGAACAATGCAAAACGCATGTGATCACTTGCCTTTATCGTCTTAACAACGTCCAAGAAACGGATTCGTGTTGTGAACGTGTGGCCATGGTAGATGATAGGATCACCGTCTGGCAGTAAGGACACACACCGTACAGTGGAGCTCACATAATCAGAAATACGTACACGGATAATACATACATGTATTCCTGCTTAGAAGTAAGGTGGAACAGAATTTTATTGCAACTCAGAGTTTCACGCTTGCGCGATCATCAAGCAAAAATTATAATAGAACGGGGAATAGACTTAAAACCTGCTTTGTATTTTTGCTTAGTATGGAAATTGTCCGGAGCACAGGTGTGTCTATCCATAGTTCCATACTGAAGTAGTTTGGGATAAGAAGTACATGTACCTCGGATACACAGCACACTTTCTTGCTGCCAATCGGGGGTACGTCTTCATGAGTTTTTTTTTTTTTTTTTTTTTTTTTTTTTTTTTTTTTTTTTTAGTGCTACTGCATATGCAATATCATAGCACGCCATACATTTACCTTTACACGCTACACGCTGCTTACACATCATTGTCAAGTGACTAGATGTGTGCACAAAGTGACCATGGTATGTGCACAGTGGAACCAACATGGCCGAAATCACGCGGCCAGTAGATGCATGGGTTGGCTGGAGCTGGAGCCAGCATGCCTGTCCCATATGGTTATGTGATAGGTGTGAACCCACTCTATTGCAAACCTTTCAGTTGGGACTTTTCCGCAGCACACCTGTTATCATGGAAAGGGTTTAGAAAATCATACAAAACGCAATACCAGTATGGAAGCCACTTGATATTGCAGTTTTCACAGGACCAGGCTTCCATTTGTATACAGTCAACTTCGCTTATAACGACACTCGGCGGGGCATCAGAAAAGTGTCCTTATTCGCGAAGTGTCGTTATACCCGAAGTCTCATTATATGTATTACAGTTGGATGGGACTTTGCTCTGGGCATGGAAATTCTGTCGTTATTCGCGAATTGTCGTTATATCCGCAGTCGTTGTAACCGAAGTTGACAGTATTGGTATCATCGCCACCTCGTAGACAGGGTCAATACAGCTAAGGACACCATGAGCACACACGCACGTACGCACACACACACACACATACACAGTTACCTGGTCCATCCCAGCAGTCCAGCTCCAAACAGCGACAGCCCTGCTGCAGGGCAAGGATGTAGGCCTCCGGGCTGCTCTTGCCTTTCAGCTGATCACCGGTCAGGTAGGTGTTGTGCGACGAGTTGATGAAGTAACTCGACAGTGGCTTTGTCATGTCCTGCGGAGGCAAATAGCACGTGCAAACAATACAGAGTTATTAACATTCATAATCGGTATGGCGTAGCTAGGGCACGTATTTGAAATGGAAGGTAGTGTTCACATTAAATTTTGTCAATGTTGGGGATACCGACAACCAGGAACACATGTTGTCGGCCATGGTGCATACACGGATAGCGGAGCTAGCATTCAAGCAGCACCCCATGTTAATTATCTCAGCCTTATCATTAACAACTGCCTACTCCATTCAGAGTGTACTACTTGAGGAAAACGACAGAAGAGCAGGGGCTACGAATTTTCTTGATGCGCGTTCTACAAGTAAATGTTGTAGTTTTGATTTTTTATTCTCACGATGGCCTATGGCCTATAAGAAGAAAAAATGTTGTTGTTCTTGTTGTTGTCGTCGTCTTCACCGTCGTCGTTGTAGTTTTATCGTAAAAATATTTTTCTTACCTGATTGACTACCAACTCGCTTTGGTCTTGAATGTGCCCATAGCTGCTGCGTAGCAAACTGCATGACACAAAAACACAAACAGTTGCGCACAATCACGCGTAATTCGTGTTTTCGTTAGATCATCGTATTGCGATGAGATTGAAGAGTGGAGTAAGTTATGGGGGTCGGGAAGGAAGGCATATAGGGAGGGGGGGGGGTGGAGGATGGGGGCTCAAAAGTGCCGCCTATTTACCTTTGATGCTCCTTAAGTACTAGCTAAGAAAGGATTGGTATCGAGTGGGAGAGTGGATCAAGCAAGTTCACAGTTCATAGCACCGAAAAAAAGCAGAGCATTTACACTTTTCACGGGCATGTTAAGCATTCGGCAGAACTTGAAGTAGGATCAGCTACCATGGCCAGCAATACTATCACCATGCTATGGTGCCGTAGTAAGTCCAGTAGAGGACATTCAACATTTTCCCATCTGATCTTTTGCGTCTTATTAATGCATCCAGTCTGGTTGTAAAAGAAAGGTGACAGATCTGTGTGTGTGTGTGTGTGCACATGTGTCTCCGTGTGTGCACGTGTGTCCCCGTGTGTGCATGTGTGTCCGGGAGGAGGCTGTGTGTGTGTGGGGGGGGGGGGGGTGCATTTCACTGAAACAGCACTCAGGCAAGCCACCCACCTTAGGAAACCCGGAAAGGACAACGTGTTGCGACTCAGGCGATACGTGGCCGGATCGCTGCCACACATGAACAGCTTGAAGGCAGTGTAGTGTTTGTCGTGGCGGCGAATCAGCTCCAGGCACTCTTCTTCAGTCAGTTCCTCACCCTGCAGAGCCATGTACAGTCAGTCAGCCATGAGAAACATCATCAAAACACGGTCTCGGGCAGCAAGGGACCTTCACACACAAGACGTACGTGTATGGACCACAATGGGAGCCTGAAAAGAGGAACCCCGTGGAGAACAGGAGAGTGCACTTCTTGCACACTTCTTGCCTCAACATTTTCAATATGGAGCAGGGCACTTCCTGCCTGCACCATATCTGTGCTGAGCCAGTGTTCCAGTCCAATCAGAGCTTGTAGCTGTAACTGAGCGAGTTCTATTGTACGATAGGGTAAATGGCTGAAATCAGAAGGCAAACGTCTGGGTGTGCGAATAAGATGCAGCACTACTGCAAAACCGCTCATAGAAACACAACCCGTGGACAAGAATATGTATAGCAGAATGACATGAACTCTGCCATCACCACTACACTAGGGCAGGACTGTACCACTGATTTAGGGAAAAGGTCAGACTGCTACAGAGGCATCGGCTCACTGGCTCATGGCAAGCGCAGGAATCAGGTTGTTCAGGCAATGCCGTCACGAAACAGTCAGTGCAATACAGTGTTTATATCAGGTGCATGTTTGCAGAGTCAAGTAAACAGGAACCACTTCAAATCTACCCCAGGAGATGTTCCTGCTCTACTCGTAAAACTGAAACACAATAGCTACCGGCAGACATAGAACATGACGGCAATAAATCCCTACACTTTATATGAGAAGATATGCTGTGCGTTCAAGGGAACTATGGGTAACCAAACTGTTACTTACCTGGCTCTGAGCTGAGAATGTGACGAGTTCCTGAGCAGTCATGCCGATCACTTCGCCATTTTCGCCCTTGAAGCTCTGCGCGTACGTCAAGTAGATGGCATTCAGCTGGGCAGCAAAAGAGCACAAGGGTAGTGTCAGCAGGGTACCACGCTTAGAACGGCGGCACCTTCCTAAGGTAACGCTCGCAACAGAAACATCTCACGGACTTGGGTGTGAGCTTGCAGCAGGTTTTCTTTCAACAATTACTATAGCACACAGTTTGTTTGCAGTGTAGGCGTGTAGCATGCGAGACCCAATATACAGCTTTGCTGGTAATGATGAAAGCCATCATCTCGTTACTCAGCTATTTGTATGATAGGCAGGATTTTTCCTCAACTGGTCGTCAACCCAGGCATGCCGGACGTGGTGTTCTTTCAAGGAAAAACCTAAACTCTACTCTCAATATATATTGGCACATGCAGTCCAACACCATGTGCATAGACTGTAATACATGAAAATAAGAACAGTCTAGGCTAGGAGGCTGACCCTCCATTCCTTCGACAGACAGTATTGCATTATATTTTGCTGCACACAGGTTTCTAGGTCCAGTGCGGAACTGTCCAGCTGAGGTTGGGATGATTGAGCAGTCGGTTAAAATAGGGTTAATTATTAGGCTTAGACGTATGCTTACTCTGCCAAACGAGCACATGTTGTGGAACAGAACGACAAAGCCGTCCTCGTTGACCGAATCTTCGTGCGTCGCTCCCATGCAGGCCTGGACTTGTCTTGTCGTCTGGTACAAAGATCAAACAAAAAGAACGGCAAGTATGGTCCAGGGTACCAGTTTCGTACTTGGCGTTGGATCTCATCTAGTACAACTGAGGTATCACCCATACCCATTTTCGTGAAAGGGGTATTGCATTGTCATTGGCAATAGAAGAAGTTACGCACGAGAGAGAGAGAGAGAGAGAGAGAGAGAGAGAGAGAGAGAGAGAGAGAGAGAGAGAGAGAGAGAGAGAGAGAGAGAGAGAGAGAGGGGGGGGGGGGGGGGAGAACTGCATGACATAATAGAACCATACAAAACTGTACATGTGTGATAATATCTGCGCAACCTACCCTGACACAGTTCTTCAGGAAGAGCAGCGATGCGGATGGCAGCAGTCGCACCATGAACGGCCATACTTTCGTCTCGTGAATCGTGCCCGTCGATGTGTTTGGGTTAAGATACACCCACTCGCGGAACAACCATCTGAATGCAGCATGTATACACACATACCAGCAACAATACACGAACACAAAACTTAGCACACAGCGGTGTGTTTAGTAGGTCACATAATTCCAGCGAATATACAGACACGTCCATCACCCATACAGCGCCTAAACAGTACTGTGAGTCAACAAATGTTCGGCGCATACTCATGTTCAGCTATTTTTGGAATGGGCATTTTGGTCGAAAATCTGTTGTGGCCGAAATTTTGTTTTGCAAGGTTCAATGTGACAGTGTATACAATCAGCAGCAGTACAGGCTGAAATTTTAATGCGGTTGAAATGTGTTTTAGCCCTGGGAGGCCGACAATTTCGAGACCAACTACAACTACAGTGGGTAGACCTACACTTAACAGATGGCTATTCTCACCTTACCAGATGGCTATTCGCACCTTAACAGATGGCTATTCTCACCTTACCAGATGGCTATTTCAGTAGAAATGGCAACGTACCTTAGAACCGGATCCTCGTCACGAATCTCCTGCTCACGCTTCATGCTCTCCTGGGAAATACCCTTGACGGCACGGGGCAGGAAGTGATTTAACTGGCAGCAGAAGAAAACGCATGCACACACGACAGATTTAAGCACACAGGTGCCATTGGTAGTGTTCTTCCGTTCTGACGTGATCGGCCCTCACCCTTCACCTCTCCAACCCTATTTTCGCAAGCCAATTGGCGCACACGGAGATGCTGCGTAAATAGTATAAAGTAGACTCTGCCATCACTGCACACGAGGAGTGTGTAATGATCAACTAAGAACATTGCAAGGGTGAAGCATAAGTGCATTCCACTCAGCGACCAGAAACATAGTGAAGGGTAGGCCTTGGCGGATAATGCCGGCAGAAAAATTGGCAGAATTCGGTACTTTTTTGGTAAGTTTCATGCATGTTTGGTATGTGGATAAAGAAATGGAGCAGAATTCGAGGAACTGCACGCCATAAGGTTTGTATGGTTCCGCCAATTTCACTGCTTTTCGAGCAGAATCTGCCACCTTTTCGAGCATTATCCGCCAGGGCCTAGTGAAGGGCATAATTATTTCACCCCCTAAAAATCACGGGGGAGGGGAGGGCAGGGGGACGGGACGGAGAGGGAGGGGGACGGGAGGAGGGGAGGGGGACGGGAGGGGGCTTAAGCCTCTTACCACTAGCTGCCACCTCTTGAAGACATCCGGTCGGTCTGGGATCAAATCAAGCGACTCCATGAGGATGTGGCGATCTGAACAGAAAAGATAGAAAACCCAGCGTGTACTTGTATGCACATCTCTAAAAGAGCTCAGTAACATGTTGTTACAGCTATGCGGAAAATGAGGAGCAAGAATGCTTCATCTGACTCTAGGGTTGACAATCATATCCCCTATTTTTTCCATTAAAATTTTCCATCCCACACATTTTAACCAATGAAATGGATGGAATATTCGAATTCACCAATATGAATGGATTATGTGAATTCATGGGGTACTGATTTGTTCTCCGTCTCACCTCGTTCGACAATGACCATCAGTGAGAAAGAGATCTTGCGAACTTCAGGCCAGGCAAACTTGGTGAAATTCTCCGTTTTCTGCCCGTAGCGAACATCCACAACCAAGTCCAGGTTGACTGAAATGAAAGAGGAGCATAGAGCTAAGTGGACAACAAACCGTAATACAGGCACACAGCTACGTAATGTAGCTGCGTGGACCACTGAAAGCAACAACCAGCCATTATCAAATCTATGTATGTCCGAATTGTCACCAGGTACCCATTGACTGGGGTCGAGTCAAAACGCAACACTAGCTTACTTGCGTTCTTTTCGCTGTATCCTGATTTGAGATTGCCGACCAGATCTCTTTTCCATAGGATTTGCTGCACACACACAGACGTAAAACACATGCACACAAGCACAAGCGTACACACACACACACACACATACATGCGTACACAAACACACACACACACACACACACACACACAAACACACATGAACATAAACACACATGCACATAAACACACATGCACCCACACGCGTAAACATAATAATCACAAAAACACGCACATCAGTACATGCACACAGACCAACAAAAATCCTTCATGAGGGGGTTTAAAAGCAATCGGTAAACCCAGTGGTTGGACAGAAAACTACATTTTATCCTTGCACGCGACGGTCACTTACTCTGTTCTTGACATCAAACGTGAAGAGCCTCTCATGTGGAATAGAGTTACCCCCGCGTGGATACTTGATCATCGATGAGTCGGCATGTGACAGACTCTGCACAGCAACTGCATGGAGCAAAAGACCAGGAAAGAAGGTATAAAGCTACTTTTCAAGAGAACATTTTTTTACTATCTTCTTTCAAATTCCTACAGGCATATGAACAGTGTTGATTCTCTGTTCGTGAGTTTCGCACCTAAAACAAATGTGTAAGCAAACAGCAGTCCTGCAAAGCATCACAAGTCAAACAAAGCTGAATGACGAGAAGAAGTTCTATACCCCCCCCCCCCCCCCCAGTATGCAGTGCAGAAATGATCAGTGGCAGGGTCTCAGTTACATACTTACTGTCCACAGAATGAGCCGTGTTGTTCCTCTGCACATCAGAACAACAACAAATAGCATTGATATGAAGCAAGGTCAGAGAGAGAATACAGATGACGACTTGTGAAGTGGATAAAAGAAAGAACAGAATCAAGTAGCGTGCTCCACTGTCCGAAGAGTGCTCAATACTCATATAGGGCACAAGAGAGAGATCGGAGGCTGTGTTGAGACACAGCTTCCAATCTCTCTCTTGCGTAAAAGGAAGAACAAAAATGTTACAAGTTATGAATAACTATCCACCATGCAATATAACCAGATCCCATACAGTCAGCTATTGCGGCAACATGGCACAAAACTGACAAGGAGTACTGAGACAGTCAACGACCTGACACCTAGCTCCAACACATCTACGAGGCGCAAGACGACAACCTTCCAACTTGGAAGGCTCAGGTTAAGAAAGGTCCAAAGAGGGGGAAGGAAAGCGCTATGAAGACGAGCATGAGCCACGTCCTACGGCAACAAGGAATGCCGAATGTTACTGGATGATGACGTGACTAGTAAGACAATTGGACATATCGGCCTTACTAAAACTCAACATTCTTTCGCATTCTTTGTTGCCGTGTGACATAGCTCGTGCTCACCTTCGTTGCGAACAGCCCATACGTTGATACGTATGTGTACGCAATGAAACACATGGTTTAATTCCCGGAAGACTAAACGCTTATCTAGGCCTAGGGAGTCTGCAGGATCGAAGAGGCAAGTGAACATTTTAGTCGTTTACGCATTCAGAAACTCTGAGATCACCTGGATATCAAATCCCCTACTAGTATGATTTTTACTGTTGGGTAAACGGCCTGTATGTTTTTTACTTACCTTCCTTCTAATGGCGTGGTGGTGGTGGTGAAGTCCATAGGCGCAGACTGCAATCCCCTATTCTTATGATTTTACTTTTGGCTCAACAGGCAGTGTATGTTTCTTACTTTGAAGTACTTACCTTCCGTCTGATGGCGTGGTGGTGATGAGGTTCGTAGGTGGCGACATCATCGCCGTCCCGTGCTCCGTGAAAGCTGATCACCTTGCTGATGACTTCAGACGTGGAGCTGTTCTGACTGCCCTTGTGCAGGCGTCGTATGGATTTGGGCTTTCGACGGACGGTCTTGCGGACGGTGATGCGCATGGAGCCGCCGGCTCGATGGTTGAACTCGTTGATGACCGATGGCTGGTTGTCTTTTCGCTTCATGCGCTCCTCATCCATACTGGCATAGGACAATCGATCGCCTGCCGAAAGGTTCGTTATCGACGAGATGTACGAGTCCGGTGGTGGGGGTGTGAGCAGGCCACATCCGCGGCACGTCGCATCACCGCAGGCGCATACATCTCTGGTCCCGTGCGGCGACGACGACAGTGCAACCGGAGCTGGCCGCGTCGACGACGGCGTGACATGCACACCCGGAACGGACGGGGCACTAGGCGCACTAAAACTGTCGGCCAGGGAGCTGCAGTGTGAACCCCTGCTCCGGCTTCTCGAGTCAAGACTACTGTTCATGACGTCTTCGACGCCTTCGCCGTCTTCATCAGAGTCACACTCGGCCAAGTGCGGTAGTGAGGCAGCCGGAGTTACCACACAGTAATCATCCAGGTCAATCTCGCCCGTGATAGCCTCCGCCATGACGTCATCCCAACGGGATCTGCTAGAGACACTCTCCGGCAGATGAGCCAGCTCGTCCTCGGATTGTGGTTCCCCCAGGGCGGACGACTCAGCGGACGGTGAGAAATCGATGGCCCATTCCTTCACAGCTATAAGAACACACAAGACACATATCGTGTTTCCCCGATTATAAGTCAAACTCGATTATATGTCGCAGCCCATTTCACGTCTGAGCCAAACTGTTTCAATACATTAACATAAGTAAGAACAAAGAAGTCACACTCGATTGTAAGTCGCACCATCTCCATTGCTTTTGAAGTTAAATGTGACTTACACTCGGGTCAATACAGTAGACATTTTATTCACCGTTATCCATGCCAGTTCAACGTCCAGGGAACGACTGGAACTGAAATCATAGTTCAGAAATGCCGACCCGAGCTCTAATATCAAACATCATAATTATTATGTGAGAACCAGCGAGTGATGGAACACATTTTCACCGACAGCAGTTCTGCAAGAGTAGGACAGAGATCACAGCGTAGCAGCAAGTCAGCGGTTCCCGATCCGGCTTGCAATCACGTGTACAAGGATCATCAACACACCTTCACATATGGCAAGTATCCACGATGTGCGATCTGCCTTGTGTTCTGCCTTCAACTGAAGTTCATAGTTGGCGCCGCGGACAATGAATACGGTGTCATCTCCGAGTAAATCTTCAACCTCCTTCACGCCAGCTAAAGACATTGATACTGCTTCGCCTTCCTGCGACAACAAGGCAGAATGCCGTTGTGAGCCATTGGACCGAAAGAGTAATTTTAGAGTGCGTTGTAAAAGCACAGCGGTGAGTTTCTCCCCCCCCCCCCCCCCCCCCGCAGTAACACTATAGAACTATACATACAGATACACGTAAACACATACCATTGGACGCCCATCGCCGGAGGCGATGATAGCGATGCTACAGCAGAAGCCATAGCAGCTTGTGCTGGGATTGCACCATTCAACAGCTTGCAAGGCTGAAGAATTGACCGCCACTATTCAGCCTGGTCTACACCACACAGCTATGAAGTGGCTTTTTTCTGGCCAGTGAATCCCTACTTTTTGGCCACACACACACACATACACACACACACACGTACACACACACACACGTGTACTTGTTACTCACTGCCAAAACTGGTCACATGAGTCTACCGGGTAGAGGGGAGAGAGACTCAAAAGGAATCTTGGAAAGATGACTCAATTGGCTATTGATCCGCCCAACGACCGACACCCCCTGAAATCCCCAAGACTCTGGGTGGCCTTGGAAATGATCCCACTTACGGGCTCACCACACCTCAGTAAGTGGGTGAGGACAAGGGGCAGAAAAAGGATTGATGGCATCAAGGTATCCGTCCCGGAATCCAACTCCAGTTACCCCTGCCCCCAGTGAAGGTAATACTTGCTACTAGTGTGGGTGGCTAAATCAGAGTGGATCTGATAGTTATACGCTTCACTACTAGCACCATTACTACACAAGAAGTAATCTAACCAGAAGCAGTTCATGGTTAACAGGTATGTATACCTCAAATAGAAAGTATGCGAACCCTGAAACCAACAAAGGTGGTAGGTACAACATTACACCTTCAAGCAGTCGAGCCCGTTGGCAACAGACCCGAAACTATCTGCGATAAGTGTACCCCCCAACCGAACTGGCTGGCACACACGCACACACGCATACGCTCACACACACACACACACACACACACACACACACACACACACACACACACACACACACACACACACACACACACATGCAGGCACGATGCTCTTACCGGACGGGTTGTGTGGAAGAACATGAGCTTGCTCGGCGTCAGCCTGAAAAGCCGAAGTGGACCAAAATCACCCCTGCCATGCCGCGGTCGTTTGCGTAACAATCCACTCTTCAAGGTCTCAATTCCCTGATTGTTAGCTGACGGCCGCGGTTCGACTGGTGTACTATGCTGTGATCGATGACCGGGCTCATGGCTGAATGGTCGTTGCAGGAGGTGATGTTTCGGGAGACGTTTCTTGGCCAGATAAAGGGCTCGGCGGGCTTTATCGCCTGCGCTGCTCGCCGCCACGTTAGGCCCTGCGGTGCTGCGAGGAACGGCGAGCGTATCCCGGGAAGCAGCCACCGAGTCCCTGGTCCCCGAAGCGCTGGCCATTGCCATGTCGCAGTGATGATGTCACGATGACGTCACTCTCTAGAGACCCTGCAGGTGACATCATATATAAGTAAAACAATATCATCATGTTCAACACACTGCTGCATACATGTGTGTGCTGTAATACCTGAACATCCTGTACAGAAGTAGAGTACACCGTGCCATATAGCTGTATAATAATATTATTATTAAATTATGGTGGAAAAAGGAGGACAAAATGTTACGAGTTATGACTAGCTGTCCACCAACGTAACCAGATCTTATACAGTCAGCGAGTGCAACAAAATGACACAAAACTGACAAGGAGCACTGTCGCACTCGCTGACTGTATAAGATCTGGTTACGTTGGTGGACAGGTAGTCATAACTCGTAACATTTCGTCCTCCTTTTTTCATCGTAATAATATTACTGTAGGTGTATTTTAGTGAAATTCATTTTGAGTTGCAACAAAAACAGGCGATGGCGCCTCCTTTTATACATATTCTTATCCCGTTCACAGTGTCAATTTGCTGCCGTACTCCGCTCATGTAACTTAAAGTACCGGTGGTCTGCTCTCCACACTGTGCCGCTTCCCATCTGGTGTTGTGGCAGGGGACGAGAACTAGATCAAGGTTCTCGGGTACAGCACTATGCATAACTGCACCAGAGATCAGACTTGCCGTGCTGGATTGTGGTACATTTTCTTCCACAGACATACCTGCACCGGCACATATCGTGTACATCAATGCATGCACTCGTTCAACACTGTATTTTGACGTGCACGCCGAAATCGTTTCACAGGTGGAAATTGGAGAGGAGGTGGATCAACGGTACTGTTACGGTACATGTACGTCGAAGTATAATAATTATACTTCCTATTTGTGTATTATAGGGTCTTCTCATACAGATCAGTATGTTGTACTGTTGTCACAGTGGGACTTTGTTTCGGAAACTCTAGTCCTTTACATCTACAGCGATTTGCAACTACATGATGGCAACACTTGTCGTTTGTTTCGTGACAATAGTTGCGCCTTCAGTCTGTAGCACACTGATAGGTACAGAGCATGGATTTGCACCCCCCCCCCCCCTCCCCCAAAAAGCCTTTCAAATCGGACACAAGGAATACCTCTCACTCTCAGTAGCTTCTTTCAATCCCAATGGAAGGTGTTGAAGGTGTCACGTAACATGATCCATTCTATGGGCTTGGTTTCAATTTTTTTCCGTAAATTTATCAAAACGTGTCCTGTGAACATCATGTTGAAGTACAAGTAAACGATCATGCCATACTACTTACAATTCGAAAAAGGAGATCACGTAGGATTACACATACACCCTCATGCGCACATGGGCGCGGCATTGTGTACGTACATTGTGCGAGTAAATTCTGGTGGGAGAATTGGAAATTCCGCTCTCTCTCTCTCTCTCTATCTCTCTCTCTCTCCATCTCTCTCTCTCTCTCTCTCTCTCTCTCTCTCTCTCTCTCTTCAGGATTGATGGAATTGGATTCCGTCGATTCTGACGACGGAGTTCGTGTAATCGAACGGTGACATCCTCTGTAACTATAGTTGGACTCACTGAACAGGCGCGCAGCACCGCCGTTGGAGGTGGTCCGGCGGGGGGGGGGGGGTCCGGGAAAATGTTGAAATTCGGGGGCAAAATGCTGCATTCTGGGCACTTTTGGCATTGTGTTAAAAAAAGTGGTCCGGCGGAAGGCCGGACCAGCCGGACCGGCTGCTACGGCCCTGCCGAAATCCGACCCGGAGTATAAATTGATGCCCTGGACCAGTTCCGATTTACATCACTGTACTTGTAAATGTGTACACCCAGCTGTGTTCGTAAACACTTTCCAGGGCGTCAAGGGCCGTGCAAGTAGACGGCGCCAAATATGCACTTTGGGTCGGATTTTACCTAGCACAATTGTAATACGGGAATGGACGGAAATGTGCGTAATCGACCTCGTCCAATGCACAAACTAATTTCCATATGGTGTGTTACAACGTTGTGTGTTACAACTGTATGAAAATAGTTACCATGATAACCATTACCTGTCCGATGGTTCGTCCTTTGCTTGATCTAGAAAAGCTATCCTGTCAGCTTTTCTGTAACGGGAATGTCGATGCGTCACGATCGCTCAAGCGGACTTCATTCAGTTGCTTCTCGTTCCGCGTACCATCCGACGGAATTCATCCACACCGCTAACTCAGCAGATGGCTACATCGCGGAGCAGGTAGTGCAGCTAACGGATGGGCAGCGTAACAAACCAGCGGTCGAATCTCGGATCTCCGGAAACTGCGACTATCGAAATACTGTATCCCACTCGAGTTACCAGACGCGCTAGTGAACTGTGGCGGAGGGTGGTTGAGGTGATCACAGCTCCAACTGGCCCCAGCATGCACTGGGTAATTATTTGATGCGTTCGTCTGCGCGCTGCACCTGCACCCGTCGGAGGCGAAGCTCTCTGAGCCCAGAACTAAAAATGTGCCACTGCAGAATAATTGCGAACGAAATGTCGGATTTGCTATTGGCAGCTAACCTCTCGTCGACAGCACAACGGGGTGCTTTCAGAAATTCAGCTGGTGAACGTGTGCTGATGATGTGCACCGCTAGAGCTCGCCTCCGTTTCTCTCTACCTCGTACCGGTCTCTGCCCAAATGACTAATACAAAGTTCTTGTTGAGCTACCGACACGGCGACAGTACCGGAGATCTACCGGGTTCACGGATATTACTGGTACTGACTGTGAGTGTAACTCATGTTCAATGAATCAGAATGCTAGCTCGCAAAATGACTCCTAGATCTACACAGTCACAGTACTAAGTTTTCAACAAACTTTTCGTGAATCGTCGTCAGGCCTGATCTGTGTGTACTCACTATTAAACCCTTCTTTCAGTTCTTTGCTTCACACTCACACTCAGTCACAGGCTCAGTGTTACAAGTACGAGACCGGGCCATACCTTTCGAAGCTTCAGCATCACGTGCACATGTACCGGTATTATAATAAATGCGGTATGTGTAGATCTACCTCCTGCTGCTATGTGAGTATGTCACTGACTATGTGCTACTCATGTAACTGTTTATACCTACATATAATTATTAGTATAGGAATTCATAGTATGATCCAAGGCAGACACTGGTCTAGTCTGGATGCATGGGCATGATTATGAATGATGATGATGATGATATGACGGAAGGCAAGTAAATAATTTTCTTCTAGTTGAAGAAACAGACTGTGTGGTTTTCCTTAGTCCAAACTACCGGTAGATACCAGGCAGGGGCGTCGGAGGGAACCTGTCCTTGAGTTGGGTTTTGGACCTAGCGGCCGCACGCCAAGACATTCAGTAGCTACATGTACATGCATGTAGATCTGCTTTGTGTAAATGATGTCTTCATTATTTTCTCACCGTAGCTGTAGTATACAAGAGGATGGTTGACATCTCGTGACAGTTGCCCTGCATTCTGGCACACCTCCTTGCTGTATTTCGAGTTTCAAATAATTCAATGAGTCTGACTGAGCAACTGCTTTATCATGGTAATACTAATAGTACTGCATCGGCATTTCGGTGATATCCGGCTCGGGTGGGATTCATGGCACCCCGTCCCCGCCCTGCGTGTTCGCCTACCGCCACCGTAAGGGCGTCGTCTCCAACTAACGTGTTTTAAGTTTTAACAGGCAAAGGTGACATTGGCTGGAAAATAAATAATTCCTGAGCTACACCCTGCCTTTGTTTGGTATTTGAGCCAACAGCCAACATACCATCTCAACTTCACAAGTGCAATGATTATGACTTGCACTTTGTAGTGCATAGCCATCATCACGTTCACGACACGAGTAAGTAGTTCAGACTGCATGCCGCCGGCGATGCACTTGTAGTCTTGTATATCATGTACAGACCATGCTTCAGTTTTACAGTATTCCCAGTTGCAAGAGGTCGAAATGGAGTGTCTCCGGGTAGACCTACCGTGATCTGGTGATGACCATGATGACTTTGACCTCCATCAAATTTTTTTTAAGTGCCTTCACTAGCAGGGAGCATTTTTCAGCGAAATCCAATCAGGACTGTCATGTGCAATAGCGTCGGACGCTGTGCGGCCCCACACCTGAGAACACTGAGTCCGTGCAAGGCCTACGTACGTAGGGGCAAGTGCAGGGCGTCTTCTTCATGACACCGGATTTCACTGACGACGAGCACACGTCAGGTGCAATGACCCTAAAAGCTCTATTATTTCGTTCTCTGCGATCATGCAATCATGTTATACTAGTACATGTATCAGACCAGGAGACGTGTACTTTAGATTCTGGCAAGATGTATTGCCTCCCGGGCCGAGTCCCGGCACACAATCACACTGATACTGTATACTATGTAGCTGCGGAAAGTGCCTGTATTAATACAACAAACGAACTACTAGTAAACCCTTTTGTAACTTTTCTAAGGTTGCACAGTCGATGCACTTGAGTAACTGGAGTACTAACTGGGGTACCAAATACGAAACAGCACAAAAACAAGCCCTCTAACTGTCTAAGATGATGAAAACGGAAACGGAATGGACCAATGCAGCAGGTACATACTAGTACTCGAAGTACTTATAGTACATATACTTCAGTACATGTACCGAGAAGCGACCACACTGCCCTCTAGGTCTACTCCTCCAAATGTGGACCGGCAATGACCATGAGAAGGTTTCATCCACTGATCCAGGTTTTGGCCGGAGTGTTTCACCATGCTGATCAATAATATGCACAGACATTGTGGTCAAGAACCCATTTCTGGGCAAACTAGTACCAAATAGTGGTATCGACTTCGGCGATGATTGTTAGGAAAGGGTTTGCTCCACACACTGGAGCTCGTGCTATTCAGCCGACTTGACTTGACACTTGACTGACTCACGAATGCCATCCAGAGCGCACGAGAAGTCCATCGAACCTTCCACTCGGCAAACCTGCAAGAAAGCACCACTCCCTGCTCAATGCACAGAGTCAGTGTTTCGGGGAATTCACCCCTCATCAGTTGAGCCGCTTTTTTTGTTTTTTTGTTGTTGTTGTTGAGTAGGCTGAGGAAGATTGTGCTTGAAGAGCACCACTAAGTCTTATATATAGTGCTCTCCAGGTCCAAAAATCACCAGGGATACATCTATCAAAATGTTCCTAGGGTTCCCTGTTATTATTATTATTATGAAATGACCCAAAGGCAATGTGCCTATCGAGGGGTTCCTTTGATTGAAAGAACAGTACTACTACTAGTAGATGTAGATGTATGTACAAAGGCAAGTAGGGATTGATGAGGAGAGAAATGGGGAAAATCAACTGCAAGGTGGCGGAATTCCGTTGATTGCATAAGCATGGTCAGCTGTAAATTTCCTGAGGGCAGCTTTGAACTTATAGAGCGAGGCTTCCGATGTTAGACTGGGGGGTAAACAGTTCCATAGAATAGCAGTTCGGAACATGAAGAGAGACTTAGACAATGATTTAAATTTGGGAAGAATGATTTTATTTGGTCGTCGCTCACTAGTCGTAATCTTGAAATGGAAATCAGCAAGATAATCACGATGATGGAAAACATATCTGTGAAAAGTAGTGAGACTGATGATTTGACGACGATAGGCTAGTGACTCTAGGGAGCATTTAGAATTTTTAAAGACAGATTTGGAAGAAGTGTAATCAAATGCAAATTTTTCTTTTTCAGTAGCGCTCTACCAAACCTTGCCTGTGATTGATCAAGAGTGGTCATGGGTTTCTTATTAGATCCAAACGACCACACGGAATACAGCTATATTCGATCACAGGTCTTACGAACCCTTTGTACAGTATGATCATTGCCGAAGGCGTAAGTTGCTGGGACATTATTGACAGTAAAAAGGCGTCGCCGCCTGTTGGGAACTCCCTAGTAGTAGTAAAACAAGAATAAATAATAATACAAACTAGGGACGCTCCGTTTCCAGCGCGACAAACACCTCGTGAACACCAGATAGCAGCGTGAGTCAGTCGCGCTCCTGGATGGTGAGAACAGAATGATGTCGAGGCCCCTCGGTCATTCACCACGCTGTCACCTCCGAGCCAAGTCTGTAGGAGTGGCGCTTTCTTGCAGGTTTGCGGAGTGGAAGGTTCGATGGACTTCTCGTGTGCTCTGGATGGCATTCGTGAGTCAGTCAAGTGTCAAGTCAAGCGGAATAGCGCGAGCTCCAGTGAGTGCGTTCGATTATGCACGCGAATCGATTCTTGAATCGATTCGTGCTACCGTATTTTCCGGAATAGTGCGCACCTTTGTATAACGCGCACCCCCAATCTTGGGGGTGTGCACTTCAATCTTCATTGAAGTACAGTACATGCATTTTCATATTCGGAGCATAGTGCGCACCTGCGATTTAGGGCCTAAAATAGCACATCTAAAGTGCGCACTATTCCGGAAAATACGGTATTCACATCACCCCATGTGAAGAGGGCGAATGGATTCCGAATCGATTCCAGGGCTCATGATGTGAAAATCGAACGACTTGAATGCATGCGAATGGATTCATGAATCGATTCAAGTGCATAATCGAACGCAGCCAGTGTGTGGAGCAAATCCTTTCCGAACTAGTACCTGATTCATAATCGCACATGAAGCTCGGCATACAGGTGCTTGTGGTACACACAATAGCGAGCCAGATAACAAAGGCAGAAGAGAACAGTCAGTTGTCTGAGGATTGCCTTAGCTTTGCTACATGCACCGCTATGTGCATGAAACGCAGTATTACAACAATGACCTTGCACGTTGTCTCTGTTCTCTTCTGCCTTTGTGGACTTGTGGTACATGTACATGACTGTATAACCAGGATTCTAGCCAGGTAAAAAATAGTAGGGGGGGGGGGGGGGCGGCGGCAGGCAGGGGAAAGAGTTACCCCGTAACACATTTTTTCCATTTTCCAAAATTGTCTTGCCATGCAAAACACAATGTAAGGGAGAGGAACCCTCAACTTCACCCCAGACAAGTGTGCCTTTATGATCCCTCTGTTAATTAGTGACTATCGACTACATTTTCGTTGAATTGCCTGAAAAAAACAAAAAAAACGACAAATGAGTATATGTGTGTGGGGGGGGGGGGGGGGGAGGCGCTAAATCAGGGTAGTGCGGGGGGGGGGGGGGGGGAGGGGGCGCTGAACCCCCTTAGGGCCCCCTACCCTCCTTTGGCTAGAACGCTGTATAACTGATTTATCACAGGTTGACTTCTAACTGGACAATGTAGACCTACAAGCTCCTAGGTCGTCGGGGCCGGGTTGTATTAGGAACCCTGACAACAGAGTATACCGGTACACCCACGGTAACACAAGCAAACCTGAAACACGCATCGGCATAACCCAGAGTGGCATACCCAGTATCACTTTGCCTGCCGGTATGTAATGTTGTGTATACCCGTTGATCATCTTTGGCAAGGTAAATTATACACTCAGGTCTGAACTCGGGTAAGAACTCAGACAGTGAGCCAATGATATAATTATTATTTAGAGACAAAAAATTGTAAACACTAGGACAAGAGTAGATTATACACATACAGTCAGACCTCGCATAACCGCACACATCCGTTTTCCACAAAAATATCCGGATAGGCGAGGGAACCGGATAATCGAACACACATACTGTATGTAAGCATGGCATATGCTGTACATTTGTAACCAACTATTTTCTTCCGGATGGCGAGGGATCCGGATAAACGAGGACCGGATAAGCGAGGTCTGACTGTACATGTATATGGATACTTTTAAATAATAAATAATAATATTCACTTTCAAATAGTGTACTGTAATAGCCCTTTGAAGGATCTATTTGCAGATCTCTATAAATAATAGGTGAATCTAGCTGCTAAACTTCGTCCTGTATTGTGTGTGGCGTTCTCACGTGTGTCTTTAGCCCCTGTCAACAGACTGGGTAGTCATAATAGATCCAGTATAAATGGTCAATATCTTTTTTTTAATACCGGGTTTTGTTGGTGATCAGTGTTTGTTCATCAATTGCCCCATATCATGTCCTTTACATTCTCATTTTTATATATGTGTGCTTTACTGTTTTCTGATGATCGCTCACTGCGTGAAACTCGAAGTAAAATACTTGTTTGAACTAGCTCTGCCTCTCGGTATTGAGAACTCTCTTGGACAGCCGGGAACCCCTCTGTTTTATGTGCTTTACTTAATTATGGTTTGACATGTAGCTTCAGCAGTGGGTCACAGAGAACATCAAGACTTCCCACAACGCGTACACTGCAGGTTAGGATTAGTTTTCTAGAAGTTCTGATGTAGTGTTCTTCATGACAACGGTGCGTTGCCGCTCTCCAAACCGCTGCAGCCTGTAGATAAGAAACTCAAGGACGCGTTGCATAGGGGGCTTGACGTAGTGAAATGCTACGGCCAAATCCGAGCAGCAGCTCGGTCCCTCCAGGGTCTCCAAGTGACCATGTTCGGTCCCGATGACCCGCTTCAGCGTCCAGAAATAGTCCGTGCGCACGATCATGCCCCTGTTGAGGTGCAGCTCCGGTGTCAGCAGCATAACCCGGTGCACACCTCTCGCATCGTGTCCCTCTCGCAGCTCCGCTCCCATCATTCGCAGGCAGATCGACACCAGCTGATCCTCGTGGACGTTGTCGCTGTGCATGCAGCCAGTCTTGATGGCGTTGCCGAGCAACTCCAGCGCCGGCCGGTTCATGACGTAACCCGGCCCACCGGACATGTACCGTATGTATCCATCCCGCAGCTTGCGACCCATGATGATCGGCTTGGTCTGCGGGTGCGGGTACAGCATCAGCTTCAGGTTCTCCACGATGATGTACGCATCGTCGTCGCACTTCAGGAACCAGTCATAGTCTTTGCTGTACCGTTCCCAGACGTGCGTCCACGCCGCCCGCGACTTGGCCACCAGCTGCGGCCGACCTTCGTAGACGCCGCGCAGCGACACACGGCCGGGCAGATCGGCCTCGTCCTTCTCGCTGGACATGAAGAGCAGCTTGTCGCAGCGTGGACCCCACGTGGCCATTATGGCCGCGCCGTACACGCGCGACGTCTTCGTGCCCGTCAACACCCAGCACAGCAAGCGCAGAGCCAGCACTTTCTCCACGCTCGGTTGGGTATCTTCTGCGGCTTGCCTCGCCGAAACGTCAGGTTCCACTACACTTTGTGCGTCCGTCTCAGTGGTTTGTTGCTGGGTTGACATTTCCAAAGGTGCATGGTCTTTCCAAGGTAATGCATGATCATTCCAAGGTAATGTCTTGAAAAAGTATGTGCCAACACACACCACCACGAGAGCAATAAACATCCATACGAAATTTGCCTTCATAGTCACACACTAAGTGACAGTGACAATCTATGACATCATCTCCACAACATAGCCTTTTTAAATATTATTTCCTACTTGCTCGCTCCGCTTCCTGTCATGTCCACGAATGCAACACGGTGTAGATTACAAGAGACGTTGCCTCAGGCTTCCATTTGCGCCTGTCGCTGATCTCTCGTTACGCCAGTCGGTACATGCTACTCCGGGAGAAAAACATTCAACAACTTTTTTTAATTCCACGGAAGCGAAAATGCAGTAGCGGCAAGGACGTCGACATCAACAGTTTCTCCCTCACTTCCGTCAGCACAGTGCGTCTGTCGTTTCGCTCGAGCTCTTCCGCCACTAGCCGACGCCGCACAGTCCTTGTGTTCGAAGCTGGTTCGAAGCCTCGAAGGCGTCTCGACTCGGATGAATGCCAGATTCAAACACTTTCTGTTTGATTTCTGATCTGCTCATTTCTTCTGCGATTGAGTTCGTCTACAATTATTACGTGGCTCATTTTTTAGTTCTAGTTTACTCGATCTCCTTGAACAAGTAGCTAGTTGTTTCAAATCGAAGGATTTCTTGCAGACAGGGTTTTTGTGGAGGCACTCCCCTACGCTCGTCACGATGGTGGTACGTATCAATGAAATTGGTTTCTAGAATTCTAGTATTTGATTTGCAAATTCAGATAATTGTAAACTCATTCCTAGATCTCATCATTGAAATAGTCCTTCGAATCAACACTCAATCACGATCCGTGATGGTGATGAAGTTTTGTTCATCGTGCATTGGCACTTCAGACTAGCCGTAATATCGTGTAAATGGTTTTCAAGGGTCAGTGAGTGTAGGAATATGCCAATCCAAAGTGAACATTACCACAGGGTTGGATTGTGAGACGACCATAATAAAAAAATAGAACTGTTGGTGGTTGGGACATTGTAGTGTGGTACCTGGTGAGCGGGAACAAACAGCAAATAGAGTGAAACACACGTTAGCCGACCGTTCACGGCCGACCGTTCACGGCCGACCGTTCACGGGACCTCCAAAATTATGGATCCCGTATTGGTGATTCCCCCCCCCCCCCCCATCCAAGCGCACATGAGTGGAAATGATAACCTCTGTTCCTAACTGTAGTGATACTCCAGGACCGGTGGTAGCCGTATCAGAGCGGCTTCCTTGACGGTCTTTACTGCCAGTATGTCATGCATGAGTGTGCAGGCAACCAGTCTACAACTCCGAAACTACACAGACGAATGGCAAAAGGTGTACATAATACATAATAGCCAAACAGTGCATATGGAGCAGGTACTTACTACATAACTGTAGTTGTACTCCAAAGCTGACAAAAGAGAGAATTGATGGGATTTTGGCAGTGGTAAATCGAAACACATGGCAGCGAATCCGCTTGTGATGCCGACCACCAATCTATCATTTCATTTCTCAGTAGACATTTCATCACGGCTTCACAACCGTACAACCGGGATGCTGATAAAGTCATCCTTGGTGCGACATGATTCATCAATGATCATTGATCAATCTGGCATGCTCTCTCTCTCTCTCTCTCTCTCTCTCTCTCTCTCTCTCTCTCTCTCTCTCTCTCTCTCTCTCTCTCTCTCTCTCTCTCTCTCTCTCTCTCTCTTTCTCTCTCTCTCTCTCTCTCTTCAGTGTACCCAGTTCCAATCCACTCCACGGTCGCTAAATGCTGTTAATCACGAACTGACAAATTTCCCAAATGCGAGTTACTGCCGCAACAATTTAATTTTATCATCTCTTGGTCTTCTTTTTTACTCCAGAAAATCAGTTTGCAAATGAAGGCAAACCTTCAGAATGTTACTGATATGAAGGCTTCTGGTGATGACTTCCGGTGGTATTTCAAGGTGAGACCAAAATAAAACACGGGCAGCAAAGAAAGATTTCATGTATACTGACTGAACATATTCATTTGATGAGTCACTTCTGATTGTGTCTATGGCAGACACACACACACACACACACACACACACACACACACACACACACACACACACACACACACACACACACACACACACACACACACACACACACACACACACACACACACACTAGTGTGTGTGTGTGTGTGTGTGTGTGTGTGTGTGTGTGTGTGTGTGTGTGTGTGTGTGTGTGTGTGTGTGTGTGTGTCCAAGTTGCTTCACGTAGAGGAAGCAGATTTGTTAGCTCCTGGTTTTCTCTTTGTTGGCCTCCTCCACGGGGCGGCCTTGGCCTTCTGGTCAGGGTCGTCCCTGGGTATTGACTGGCAGTAGGCTTTTCATGCCTTGCAGCCGGTTTCGCTCGCGCGGAAGGACATTCAGTGAGCTGACGACCAGGGCGGGTAATTATTTGTTGCCGTCACCGTCTTCTTACGTCCTTTCCGCATCCTCCGCAGTGGCGTGGCGAGCCCTCGGATCAATCCCCAGCCTGTAACAATGCAGTGGCGTTCGGCAAAACAAGTGGATTCCTGGATGAGGAAGGATACAGGTCACACTCGCAACAATTTATTCCTGCGCGGTGATAGCTGGAATTGTGAATTTGTCGTGTTGTTTGGACCTGAGTGGCCAGTCGTCGTGCGGCGATGGTGTAGTGATGTTAGCTTGCTGCGCATACTCCTCGTCGTTTCGTGAAAGTACGTCTTGTGGAGCCCTTGTGGGACGTTCGGTGCCCACCCTCCAGCTCAAGATTGTGCTTTCCTGGTGCATGAAGGCCGAAGCAGTACGCGTACAGACGTTATTGTTGAACAGAACATCATGTTCACATTAATTGTGTTCCTTTTTCAGTCGTTGCATGTTATACATAGTGGACCCACAGCAGACTGTTCATCTGGTTTGTGATATTTCCTTCCTCTGTTTGTGAGTCCCTTTCCATCAATATGGCAGCTTGTTTTGATTTCCTTTTTTTTTCAATTCATTTTGCTGTACTTCCTGTTTTGTTTGCGCCACTGCCCCTCACCTTGCGCTCAGTTCTCTGAGTGGAGGGCGGCGTGACCCCACTGGGGTAGCTGATTGATAGTAGTAGTAGTGTGTGTGTGTGTGTGTGTGCGCGCATGCGCCAGCTAGTTCGGTTGGTGGGTACTCAGTACATTTATGCCAGATAGTGTTGAGTCTGTTGCCGACAGGCTCGGCTGCTTGACGGTGTATTGTTGTACTTGCCACCTTTCTTGGTCTCAGGGTTCATATATTATACTTTCTTTTGAAGTATACATACAGTCGACCTACCCTTATAACGATAACCTCTATAACGATATTACCGTTATAACGATATTTTTCTGCCAAACCAAATCACTCCATTGACTTTTGTATACAATGCCCTACCCTTATAACAATATTGCAATAACGATATTACCCCTATAACGATATAAAATGGGCTGACCAATCAACATTTTCCATTTTATAACAATATCTAGCAGGGAAGATGTAGAGCCCACTATCCAGGTAGGGCAAGCTTCACTTGATAAGTCGCTGGGACATAACGAAATGCAATGGGGGCACCAGTGGGCACCTTGCTGTGTACATAATGTGCATGTATGTCAGTTTTTACGCTATGAAGAGTGTAAAAAATGAACAAAATCCATGCATTATGACGTATGTGTATGAAATGAACCAGTTACCCCTATAACAATATTACCCTTATAACAATATTTCTTGGTCTGACGCAAATATCGTTATAAGGGTAGGTCGACTGTACCTGTTAACCCTAGACTGCTTCTGGCTAGATTAACTCTTGTGTAATCAATGGTGCTAGTGAAGCTTATATCAGATCCACTCTGATTTAGCCACCCACACTAGTAGCAAGTATTACTTCACTGGGGGCAGGGGTAACTGCAGTTGGATCCCGGGACGGATACCCTGATGCCGTCAATCCTTTTTCTGCACCTTGTCCTCACCCACTTACTGAGGTGTGGTGAGCCCATATGTGGAATCATTTCCCAAGTCCACCCATAATGTAGGGATTTCAGGGGGTGTCGGCCGTTGGGCGGTTCAATAGCCAATTGAGTCATCTTTCCAAGATTCCTTTTGAGTCTCTCTCCTCTCTCCCAGGAGACCCACGTGACCAGTTTTGGCAGTGAGCAAGTACATGTGTGTGTGTGTGTGTGTGTTTGTGTGTGTCAAGTCAGTTTTTGTTTCTTTCTGTTTCTGTGATGCGGGTTTGGGGTACATCGGTAGAATATTTTCACCAATGAATTGTTCCTCATGTGATCTGTCCATAGGTCAAGTGCCTCAGCTGCGGTGAAGTTTCTGAAAACTTCATCTATATTTGTGGCTTGGTAAGAGATGCTAACCTGTCGTACTATTTTCCGCACTGCCCGTATTGTAGGCCACAACCGTATACTGGCTTATTTTCAACTTCAGAGACTTCACGCTTATTCCTATGCGGTGTGCTGATGACTTGCCGGGAGAAATCCAATCCAATGTTTAGTTTTGAACTGGTTCTTGTCAGATTTTGAAAGTGAAATTTTGCCGGAAGGTGCCATAGACCTTGTGATCGCACTGATCTCGAAATCTCATTTTCTCATATTTGGTGCTTAGGCGAGACAAAAAAAATTGAGATTCCTGGGCCCTCCCGCACCAAAATCGAGCCGAAGTCATTTTTTTAAACAGTTCATATCCATGTACAGTAGTAATCTTATACCTGCGCACTGGATGCTCTTGAGCTGTAGAATCTAGTACAATGCTATTCCAGAAACGACTTTGAACCGATGGCACTCGAAACCGACGACACATGTTGGAAACTAGAGTTTTAAGTCTCTAAAAGCAGACAGTGGATGGTGAACCCAGGAGTAACACAAGTGGCAAGGCTAAAGTTTAGACCATTGCCAGCACAGTAGTGCTGTCGGTTGCCGAAGAACTGTGTGTGTGTGGGGGGGGGGGGGTCAGCCTCCTAGCCTAGACCGTTCTTGTTTTCATGTACAGATGTAATCCTGATAATTCGAATATGGCTTAATTCGAACATTCCGCTTAATTAGAAGTTTTTCCAGGACCGATTTCTGTCAATACGATTCCCACATGTTTCTGATAATTCGAACCTCGAACCGGACATGTCTGGTTAATTCGAAGTTCCACAGATTCCACTTACATAGAAAATGTGTGGGATTTGTGCTGATAATTCGAAGTTAGCAAAGTGTAATTCGAAGTTCACTGTACACTGTACTAATCAGTTCAGTTTTCATGAGCAGGCTGTGCTGGTCAGTTCAGTATCCGTGAAATCTGTGTCTAAGGTCCATAGCGCAACTCTGCGTGACCAGGGGAGCATTTTGACATACATATTGTGTTGTGGGTTCATGTTTGGATAATTAGAATGTCCGGATAATGAGAAGTTTTTTTCTGGCATTTGGAGGTTCGAATTATCAGGATTCCACCTGTATTACAGTCTATGCATAGTTGAGTCACCGTATACTGTATTTCACTGGCATGCTGTGCTTGGTGAAATTCTAGCCTGGGTCGTTCTTCCGCGCTCCGTTCTTTGTCGCCCGCCAGTACTGTAATGCTCCTCGTTACAGTGTGCTTTTGAGTTTTGTATGGGTATCTAAATTAATATGCTGCCACGCTCTGTCCCGTTTCTTCTTGACCAGGAAAGAAGCGCAATGCCGGGCAGTCGTGGAGATGCTAACCTGATCATAAAGTGCAAGCTGTGCTCACGTGTCAACAGTGCAGGTATGTAACATATTTTCCGGAGAATAAGCCACACACAGGCTTTTTGTCACAAAATACAGACATCTACCCTGTATTTCACGGTTCATTTGATCATTGTACTTCCTAGTACAGTTGAACATCGATTATCCGCACATCGACTATCCGACCATTCGATTATCCGTAACAGTTTTTTTGGGCGCACGTGCCGTAGAGTACGCACTGTGCATGTAGTGAGCCATTCAAAAAATACGAAAATTTTGAAAAGTAAAAAGGTCGTACATGTACATGTAAAGAACTCTTCCTCTCCTCTCCTCCATGCGCTCTCACAGCCGACTCACTGCTACCCTCAGTAGCCATTACACACACCAACCAAGGAAGGGTTGCAGGTAGATACTGAAATTCCTCCTGACAGCTGTTTCGCCTTCATAAGACTCATCAGAGAAGGTGATATTGAATAGGATGATATCAGGTGGAGATGGTCATGTACATGTTTCTTATCCGGAACATTTGCCTTATCTGAACACCGCCTGACAGCTGTCTGCCCAGAGGTGGTCGGATAATCGATGTTCAACTGTATACAGTAAAACCTGTCAAGGTGACCACTCGGATAAGGCGACCACCTGTCCCAGAAGACCACTGCAGCCAGGATCAAGGGATGCTATTTCCAGTCGAATGACCCTCTGGATAAGGAGACCACCTGGTAACAGAGACCGCATTTTGAAGGTCCCTTGAGCGGTCGTCTTAGACAAGTTTCACTGTAGTAAATTGTTTAAATAATAAGCCACATCGCCTATCTGTGGATGAATTATGAGTGTTTTAAGTGCGGCTTATACTCCGGAAATACGGTAGCTTCAAGCCAGGACATCACATTGCTTTCACAGGGGCGTCGCACACGGTACGGTCACTACGGTATTGACCGTACCGCTATTTGCCCCAAGTACCCCGTGAATCAATAAAATGCACTGATTTGGGCTCTAAATTTCCAAAAATTTCGGCCCAGCCATCCCTCCCCCCCCCCCCACGAGTAAATTGTACTTCAGGTGGCTGACCGTACCACACTAAAATACCTTCTGACGCCCCTGTTTCATGTTTTCTGTACCGCAGTACTGTGTGTTGTAGCTCTTTGCTACTCAATCGTGGAGGCTGGTGGTGTGTTCTTGTCTGCTGTGCAGTTGCATACAAGCAGCTGCTAAAGTGTTGAGTGGGGCCTATCTGCGCTAGACGTTTATCTCCCTCAGATCTAAATGTAGCTCCGGTAGCAGTGAAGCTTGTAACTATATGCGACAGTTAGTTTCTGTCACTGCTTGTGTCTTTCCGCCCTGTTGCAGATCTTCTTGCAGATACGATCAAGGCTTACAAGGTACGACAGACTTGCCTGTTTGGTCACAGATGTTCACAATTGTTGCACAGAAACGAGTTCAAGCGAATTCCGTGCTCTAGTGAGGGTGTGTTTGTGTGTGGGCGATGACGCTGTGTTAGTCAGGCCATATTCCTGCCGTAGCCTGGCCATTGCAGCTGGGTATTTCTTCTCGTCCCCGCCAATCTTCACCAAGCAAGCCTCAAGTTTTGTGCGGTCTGGGCTTCATTTCTAGCATATTTGGGTCCTCTACAAAATTTTAGGTCTAATTTCTGTATTGCTCTGCATGTCACCTGAGCACAAGCCACCCTTCATTGGGCGTCTTTCCACGTGAATGGCAGAACGAATGGTATTAATTTGTGTAGACAAGCCGTCCGTATTCCACCACCGTCATGTACTCCAGCAATGTAAACATAATTATAGTCCCTCTCCCTAGGACATGTGCCCTGTGCAACATTGTAGTCTTGTGTGGTGGATTCATGTTATTGATAGTGATGGGTAGTCACCAGGAGGCGAGTTTTCTTCTTCCCAAGCTGATGTAGTTTTTTCTTTCTTCCACTGATGATGATCGTGTGCAGGCTGGCGGTAGTCAGTTTCAGAGCATTGTCACGTTTGAATGTCGAGGACTTGAAATTGTCGAGTTTTCTCCGAGGGTGAGTCAACTTCTCTATCTCTCTCTCTCATTCCCTCTCTTTATCTCTCTCTCATTCTCTCTCTCTCTCTCGCTCTCTCTCTCTCTCTCTCTCTCTCTCTCTCTCTCTCTCTCTCTCTCTCTCTCTCTCTCTCTCTCCCTCAATAAGTACGGGGAGAGATACTTGGATCGAAACTTTTACGGTACTCAGTTGTGGCACTCTCTTGAGCTTGGTTGGGTGATGGAGCTTCAGCAATCCTGGGCTGTATTTTATTCTTACATGTACTCCTTCATCCGTTCACTGAAGTTTACGGATGAAGTGTGTGTGTGCATGTTGCTGCACGAGTCCATTCAGTTCCTGTCTCAGTGTACCATGGTGTACTTTCCGTTGCTTTCTGCTAATTCTTAATCTGCTTGTTTTCCTCATTGCAGAGTGGCTTTGTGTGTGTTGGTGAAGAATCAGGAACTAAGTTTGAGGATGTTGATCTGACAGAAATGGTAAGATCTTTTACAGGTTCAATATTTACAACCACTCTTCGACTGTCAAGTACGGCTGAGAATTGGGTCCGTTGTACATTGCAATGGCGGCCTTTGAAGATTGGTCAGCCTCAGAAGTTGTGCCTGTGAATCACTGTCAAAACGAATATGACTCAACTGCATGTGTGAAGTGCTGGCTATGTTGCGACAGGCCTATGAGCACCCTCTTAATTTTCTATCGCTACTGTAGCTGTTCTTGTAAGTATCATTTCCTGTACGCGTACTGCAATTCGTTGCCTACGCAAATATGTAATAACCTATAGCCCGCCTCTGTCTTGGTGTGCTTATCAGGAGTGGTGCGACTACGACGAGAAGGCCGGGGACTCCGTTGCGATCGACGAGCTGGAGTTCAAGTTTGTACGGGCATGAACATAACTGCTACAATTGAACTGCCACATGCATAGAAAATCCATCAAGTGCTGCACGTAGGGCAAGTATGATGACTGGTCAGGTGCCAGTGCAATGTTCGAAGCCGCTTGCAGCGATGACATCTATGCTTGAACCGTGGTCTCCTCAGTCACATTGACTACATTAGGCAATAACTAGGCATGCCCTGCGACGCTACCTTGCTGTTAAAATTGCTGTCAAAGCTGATGCTGATCCTGTTACTTAGAACGCTGAATGGGTATTTTAAAAAGGTGTTGAGCTTGATTTTTTAACACATTCACCCCACATGAAAGAGCTTATTTTTTGAATTAATCCAAAGTTTTTCTCATTCCCGCTATGTTGATTCGAATCCTTTCAGCGTTTCCTTTAGTTACACCAGTCCTTGCTTTGCCACGTTAGCCTCGGATACTGCTGGCTTATCCAACTCCACTGTTGCTGTTTGTGTTTTATTCTCAAACAGCTGCTTGATTCAAGCACAACAGTAGGCTTGATTCTAGTACAGCAGCAGATATTGCTAAAGACAGGAGTGTGTGTGTGTGTGTGTGTGTGTGTGTGTGTGTGTGTGTGTGTGTGTGTGTGTGTGTGTGTGTGTGTGTGTGTGTGTGTGTGTGTGTGTGTGTGTGTGTGTGTATGCATGTGTAGGCGGCCTGTAGGGAGGAGTGTGTGCATGGGGGTATGCTTACCCATGCTCCTAATTCCAGATGTACTGAAGCCCGTGGCCCTGACCCTCATTGGGCACAAGGCATTTTGGCGAAGTCAAACAACTTTGATTTATGTGTGGCGGATGAGTCATTCTAGTATTACTGAAGTAGTTACTTGTTCATACAATGATCCACACATACGTTCCAGTAGAAACATCAGCCTGTCTCTACTGAGTGCCTTGTTATTAAAGGTGTAATCATCAGGAGACGATGCATTGCTGCAAGAAACTCTGAGTGGAGACAGACGGATGTTCTTCCACTGGAACCTGTGTGTGATAAGGCCCTGCAGTGCTAACTGTTCGGCACTCGCATTGAGCACTTTGAAGTGTTGTCGATGGTACCCAATGTACAGATTCGTGCCCGCGATGGAAAGCTTTTTGGTGAGCTGACCAGCCAAGTTCGAATGCATTCAGTGTTTCAGACCAAATGGAAAGAACAAGTCAATGATTACAAAGATGAAAGCGTGTGCATACACAGGCGGCAATGCAGCCGTCGTCTGGGGTATTATGGCATGATCCTTTGATCTGTTTGTTGTAGCCTAGAAATTGTAAGGCAAAACGCGCTAACCATCAATATCATTACCCAACTAGCCATACACTGCATAACCATCAATGATAAAAAAATGTTTAGCTGGCAATGAATACACAATAATATTATTAAGACTATTTTTTCCATATGTGCCTAATGATTGTGTGTACTTGTTACATGATTATAATTGTACGAAATAGTGGTTGCGACTTCGGCGATGATTGTTTTAGGAATGGGTTTGCTCCAACACTGGAGCTCGTGCTATTCCAGCGACTTATTATCGATGATTATAATTATTATTACAATGTGAATGTACCTTTTTAAAACTGGAATCAGCCTGGACTCAGTAGTACATAACTTTGTCATGCTTAGATTTGATCTCTAAACACACTATCCCAGTCTCAGAATTCTTCCTGCAAAAGAGCTCATTGGGAGTGGGAACCTACCCCCCGGCCTGGATATAGCTTGGTATCGAAGCACAACTAAAATTACTTGAAAGCCGGTGAGGACTGAACGGCTGTAAATTCTATACTCGTAGTGAGTGGATCGTGTGCCGGGGAGACAGTGTCCATGACTTGCCTTCTCCAGCTGCTAACCGTAAACGGGTGTATTATGTGGGTGCAGTCCTCAGGTCACGGAGCGTAGGTCCTGAATGCGGAGACCAGCTTATCGACGTTATGTCCAATGACCTCATGAATCTGCACAAGAATAACAACGGACGCAGGCACGCCAAGAAATGAATGATTTGATAGCACAGCGTACAACCGCGCGGGGTATCTAAATAAAAATAAGTATAACTATGGCAACAGCTGCAACTGGATTACCTTCTGGCCATCCTTGAAGAATTGGACTGTCGGTAAACCCGCGACTTCATTGTCGACAGCCAAGTCCTAGAACGGAGCAGAGGCAGAAACAAAACGGAAAGGAAATAAGACTTAAGACGGACCGAGCACAAACGTGCATGGACTGCAGTGTCACCTCCATGTTTACTAGGTAGACCACCCAGTAGAATCATCGTACTCAATGTTGACTAGAATGATTTCGGAGAATGATCATGCTAGAATGTCACCAAGCACATCTACACTCTGACTCCACTGTGCATAGATTATTGTACCGGTATATGAAAATAAGAACAGCCCAGGCTATACGACTGACCGGCCCCAGTTCTACGCCACCCTTCAGTACTGTAATTTAGGCAAAGGCATACATGATGTCTGATGATGAACTATAAAGAATACCCTGGCTCTAAGCATCTGACACACGCTGTGCGGTACACTTCAGTATTCACAGTAGTGACAGATTTACCATCTGTCGTTGCAAATATAGAGCTCCCGACTCGATGAAACATCTTTAGATACATGAAAAAGACAATGGTAATAAAATTGAAGCACTAATTTTGCTGACAGTCCCGACTGGAAGGAGCCATTGATTACCACCATCATCACTTACTTCAGCCACATCCACGTCCACAATCGTGAAGATTGCATTGGGGTGATCTCTCTCAAGGTCCTGTACAAGACGAGCGTGCACACAAACAGGCCGGCTGCAAGGTACGAGATGGAAGGTGCATTCAAGTCACTTCTACATTTGCTTCAAGCATAGAGCTTGATACAGAATTGATTCTCCTTATAGCTGCATTTGAGAGAAAACAATTCTCTGCGACTCCTTGTCGATCGTGGATGAGAATGCAAGCAAACACCAGCATAATTTGCTTCATCTGGGAAGGTTCATGCCGGTATTGTGGATAGACGTACGAGGAAAAGTGAAAGGATTTTAGCAATGACAACAGTCCTCCAACTGTTCTACATTCCATGTATGCCTGTGATTGGATCAGTCATGAAGCCTATCCAGTGAATCATGGCATTGTGGCGATCCTTATTTACCAATCCCTACCTCACACAAGACATCCATGCAGGAGTTGCAACCGGCTCTAGTATAACAAAGGGGGCTAGCTTTCAATGCTGATAATCACATGTACTACAGCTAGGACATGCTGGGCACCTGCGAGCCTCGAGGAAAGAAAGGCCGTTATTGACCCATCTGGACTTGGATCTACGAGTATCAGGGTGCCTACAGTATTACTTCGAAGTACAACTCTCAGTTTATGCAGATCTGGCTCTCATCTGTAGCTGATAACATATGCGGGAACTGAAGGCAGCCGTGTCCATAATTACTGGATGCAGTGTTCTCACCAAAGGGGGGGGGGGGGGTAGGGGGCGCAGCACCCCCCCCCCCCCCCTGCTCTGTTTGCACCCCCTGTAGGCATGCAAGAAGCGTACTACAGCCGTGATGTACAATGCATGACTACCACACCCCCTACTCATTTGTCAATTTTTGTGTTTTTCATGCTATTCAATGAAAATTCAGTCGATAGCCACTACTGGAGGGTCCAAAAAAGGCACATTTGTCTGGAGTGAAGTCAGGAGTTCGCCCTGGATGTTGCATTTTGCATGGCAAGACAATTTCAGGAAAAATGGGTTAGGATGTAACTGTTTACCATCCCCCATGCCCCCCCCCCCCTACTACTATTTTGACGTGGCTAGAACCCTGGGATGGATGACACATTACCTTATATTTGGGTAACACAATGCTGCATGGGTTACACCATGTCGCTGTGAACATCACGGCCACCACCCGGCCATCGGCGGTGCTCAGCACACTGGTGAAATCATCCTGGACAGAGAACGCGACAGAACGAAAGCGCTGTCCTTGCTCGTGGACAGATCCACAATACAATAGAGCAGCTGGCCTCTGACTCCAATCAGTGTTCACTCGCACACTAGCCTCTTTGCTATGTGCGGAGTTTGATGGAACTGGATTATATCTCAGCAAAGAGACTGTAGATTTTAGTATACAAATAGTCTGCAAGGAGATAGTAATATTAATAGAGCTATGGATAAAATAAGGCTGCAGACATCATGCAACTAAGTTACTTGTTCGAAATATATGTGTAACAATAATAATAATAATAATAATAATAATCCAGAATCGATTTACGAAAGACGCTTTCTTCAGAATCGATTTTCTCAAGAAAATCGACTCGGAGCGCTGTGCGGGCAGGCGCGTATTTGCCGCCATTTCTCCAGGGATGTTTTTACCACCATCCCTGCATTGGAGTCTTCTGCCCGGAAAATAAAAGTGATCAGATTTGGGCCTTGGAGTGAACAAATTTTCCTAGCATGGTGATGACCCTCTTTATGATGAGCGGTAAGAAGGTCGAAACAGCTACATGTATGATGTAGATGTAGATGTACATTGAAAGTGTCCGGAAATATAGGAAGAGTGATTGTAATTTAACGCAGTTACTGAACCCATATTGAATGGAAGAAGGACACAAGTTCACAATGTAAGACGGAGAGATAGATTGATACAAGTCCTGGGAAGAAGTAGCGACGACCCGGCCATTATGGAATCCTATACACCACACCACCACATTGCGCTCTTGGCCGATCTAAACTCTGCACTCACATCACCATCACCACAGCGATGACAATTCCGGGAGCCGCAGTATCTTTGCTTTTGTGGCACATGCAATAACTAACTTTTCTGGTGTTAGACTGACTGCCCCCCCCCCCCCTTTTCACACGTGCTACATGTTCCTGTCCCAGCCATGAGCGCGTGTCGTTATCACCCGGCCTTGTTATCACTTTTGTCACTTTCGTCACTTAGGGTATGCCACGTTTCTATGCAGAATGAGCGCAATTGCGCCAAATTAGCCCAGATCACTCTATTCATATTTTTCTTTCATTCAATATCATATGCCTCCACTGATGAGCTCAGAAGGAACGAAACAGCTGTCTGGAGGGTCATTGTCAATATCAATCTATATACCGGAATTGTCCTCGCTGTGGTGATGGTGATGTGAGTGCAGAGTTTGGATCGGCCCTTATGTGGTGGTGTGGTGTATTGGATACAAGTCCTGTTGGAAATAATTTAGGCATTGCCCTTCCTGGTCTCCCTATGCACGACACACGTGCAGTACAGTCATTTCAAACATATCACGTGCTTGTTGCCATCCGACGGCCAATCAGCATCGACTTGTACCAGGGCAGAAATTGTGTGTATTGCCTGGACTACGGCATGGCAATGCCCTGCTAGCATGCTACGGAGTACGGTGACATCCAATGCCCTGCATGCATGCTAATTGCTATGCAAATGCCAGGCTATGGTGCCATCTATCAGCGTAGCTCGGCAAGGGTCTGTGGCACTGGCAGTTTTTCGTTGTCAGCTCAGTTCGCATGTACATTCGACTGTGAACTGACGTGACGTTACTTGCTCTCGTAAGCGAAATAAAAGAGCATGCACCTACATGTATCTATCTGCTCTGAACTTAGCAAGCCAAAATAAGTAAAGTGGCAATCACCGGGGTCAGTTTTCCATGTTCGGATTCCAGCTGTTCCAGCTCCGTGCGCTCTCGGGCAAGCCCTCGAGCGCACGGCTGAAGTTTCGTTCTGAAGTTTCAGCTCACGAAGTATCAGCTCCGTATGCTCTCGGGCAAACTCACAGTCACAAGCTGAAGTTTCGTTCTGAGCTCCGTACGCTCAAGGGCTTGGGAGCTGCAACTCACCGTTTCAGCTGAAGCAAGGTGAAGTTTCGTTCTGAAGTAACCGTTCGTTTCATGTCGAGCAAGGTGAAGTTTCGTTCTGAAGTAACCGTTAGTTTCATCTGGAGCAAGGTGAAGTTTCAGCTCCGTACGCTCTCGGGCAAGCCCTCGAGCGTACGGAGCTGAAACTAACAAGCTGAATCCTCCACGTCCCCGACCACCACCCCTAGAGGAGTCTCGCTTTTATACCTTCATGCCCCCGTGCTCATTTTCAGCTCCGGACGTTATCAGGACGTGCTGATCGGTGATTGGTGTTTGCTTGTTGATGTATGCGGTATGTTTGAAACACAATCAAGCATGGTAGGAAGGTCTTGATGGAAAATGCGTACCCTCGTGCGTAGCCCTCGGGCAAGCCCTCGGGCATACGCACTCGGGCACTCCATGCCCTTGTGTGTACCCTCTCGGGCAAGCCCTCGAGCGTACACACGCGGGCATGAATTTTCCACCAAGCCCTTCCTTCCATGCTTGATTCTATACGTACAATGTCATGTACAGTCATCTACATAGTCATTGTACATGACTGGTCGACTGTATCTTCTTCCGCTAGATTAGATTCCGCGCTGGCGAGCATGCATTCATGCCACTACAATAAAAGCTGGTGATCTGATAGCGATCATACGCGTATAACTTCAGGTCTTGTACTAGTCCAGAAACTGGGAATAACAGAATACTTTAGTACTGACTAGTACAAGTAGTAGTCCGTCGTTTCATGCACATCAAGTACAATGTCACATAATAATTATTAGGGGCTCGATGTTACCGACCGTGACTGAGGCGTTACTGATGACAAGGGAAAGGGCTAACAATGCTTGTCACAACATGACCAAGTCGTTACATGTATACAGAGTTCTATCAATAGCATCATTACCTTGTCCGCAATGGTCTTCATTCCGCCGGTGTCGAGTTTCTTGTTTTTAGCAAAGGCAAGAAAGCAAGATTCGCGTTGCGTAAGCCGCCTCCGGAGATCTAGAGGAACGCACGAGACCTTTTTTTGCCTTTGTCTACTCCTTCCTGAAATCCAGTTATGCTATTCTTTCTTCTGTGAACTTCAAATCCTTGACAAACACCCAATACTTGGCAATAGAAACTCGACTGCTACTACTAATAATAATGTCGCAACTCTACGGGGAGCCGGAAACCGTTCACGTGAATGGAGAGCATGCAGGGGGGAAAGGGAGGCCCCACTGCACGTGGCCGAAGTAAAAGAAAAGGAAGCCTACACTTTTGTAGTCCTACTGATCCTATAGCCTAGGCGACTGTACATAACATCTTCACATGGGGTGTCGCTGTTCTCAACAGGATTCAGGCGAATCAGAATGACTTGTGAATCAAGTGGGGCTAGACCCTGGCCTGGCCCTGTGTCTGCAGATAATCATCTCCGTGAGTGCCGCATGATGTAGGGATAACAATCATGTAGATCTATGGGCCGGAGAAATCAGAAGCCGAGAAGGACGATCCCGGATCCCCTCCACTGATCTACAAGCGAAGTACAACAGTACCAAACTAGCTGGGGAACATGTAGATTCTACAATACAGGCGAACCACTACACTAGACATTAGAGAGGTTTAGCACAACGAATTTCGTTGTGCTAAACCTCTCTAATAGAGAGGTTTAGCACAACGAAATTCGTTGTTCATTTTCGTTGTGCCGCCGTACGAAAAAGCCGACCGAAATTCGCTGAATTTTTGTTTAGCAGAACGTTCGCAACGAACTTCGGTGTTGCTACTGGACACCATGGATGTCGCGGAAATCCACGCGAAATACAAAAAGGTAATCCTCGTCACTCCCCGACTTTCGTAAACTGGTGGCCTCACCACTCGAATGCTTCTTGAGCGGGAGATGAAGCCGATCCACAAGCCCTTTCTTTTCAGCCCAGCAAATCTCCTACCGCTCTGGGAAAGCAGCAGAGCTGCTTCTTCATTCGTGCGTGATTTCCGCAAGAAACAATTCGGCATCGACCTCACAAGGCGGAGCATCATGAGATCCATTTGCGTACCCCGCGTAAGTTGTCGTCCCTCCTGATTACCAGAGGCAACAGCAGCAGCAGAAACTGCAGGATTTGAGTTCGGCTCAGACATTCTGGTCGTGAAAATAAGGACCTCAGAAAAATGTCAAAAGGAACAAAAATTCTCATGTGATCGCGGAACGAAAAGTCGACAGACCAAACTAAAGTTACTTCGTCGGATTGATGTTTTCCGCGAGTGTGTGTTCGGAAGTTCGTTGTAAGTTTCGTTACTCGTTCCCGGGCTTCAAAATCTAACGAAAATTCAGACGAATTTCGTTATGCTAAACCTCTCTACTACCGCCAAGTACTGGCGCTAGGCCTCAGTCACAGGTCACTAATATCGTCTGTCGTGTCGGTCGGGGCCGAGGAGATGCCACGAGTCAGGCTACTTTTGCTAGAGCGCGCCAATACAAGTGAAAAAGCTGCACGTCCTCTTTCGTGAAAAGTGAAAACTAATCTGGCCATCCACTCAGGGATGCCAGATTGTTCGTTCTCATGCTGTTACTACATGACTTGTACTGCCTAGTCTAATCTACTAAAGTAACAGTTAGTACTAGTAGTAGTTGAGTTTAGATATCCTGTTGCAAATGTAGGTATCCTGTCTTGTAAGTGGCATGGCGGAAAGGATGGAGGTGACTTCCGAGAGCAGAGGTCTGCGCTGGGGCATATGCGGTCCCGGAAACACTGCCTACGACTTCGTGACAGCCATTGCCTGCTTGCAGAAAGGAACTCACGTCGTCACTGCAGTCGCCTCCAGATCGTCGCGCGAGAAAGCGGAGAAAATGGCCCAGGACCGGGAGAAGTTTGGTGACTGGATTATCTGCAGCTCGCTGGCATCACTGGAGCGAGGTATCTACACGCAGTACGAGCAGCTAGCGGCTGACCCACAAGTGGATGTAAGGAACACGAACGAAAACACGGGTCTTATGAGCTACTGTATAAGTACAAATTTTCGTTCACGAAATCTTTCGTTTAGATCATTCCACCAGCGTGCAGCAGGCTCGTTACGTAGACCTACTAAATTTCGTTTTGGTCGAGGTCTGTCACCCCGAACGTTCAGGAATTTTGTTTAGTCTGGTACAAACGAGACTTTGTACTTGTACAGTAGTTGAAGTGAGGGAGAGCATACAATTATTACAGGTATACTAATACTAGGCACTTCACCCCATTTTTTGAAATCGCGTTTTTTCCAGGTTTATCATTGGCAATCGAAGGTGGTGGGTATCACAAGGTCACACAGAAAATTTTATTGAAATCCACAGTGATACCACTCAGATATGAAGGGTTGAAGATAGGCAGTTGGATGAGGCGAGATCAATACAATTTGTGGCACCAACAGCATCTCCGAAGTATCATCAGTGGATATAGTCACAAAACATCAGAGTGTTTTTTTCAAGCACACATCACTCACTTACACCGACAACCCTGTATGGATCGAAACAATACAGATCAAAGTTCAGAATAGGCAAGAATACGGCAATTGTGACCGCAATCACTATAGCAACTCCATAGCAACCCATAGCAACGCCATAGTAACCCATAGTAACAGCTTCAGTTTGCTGTGAAATGAACTGATAACGACATACTGGCAGGCTCCAGCGGGTACAAAAGCGTAAGAGTTATAAAGACATTCTTTCTGGCACAAAAACAACAGAGAACTTCCTCGTTGTACGCCGGACACCGCAACGTGGAGGGTATGTACGCGCGCGCGTGCGCGCGCGAATTACTGCACAGGACATTCGTGCTCACAGTCATGCTACTTCAAGTGATTCCAAGTTGGCAAGAAGTTCTTCAGGACCTCTGTTGGTAGCTTCTTTCCATGGTGTGATATCTGCCTCCCTATCCTTCAACTGCTCCATGCAGCAGTCATGAATTGCCTGCTGGTGAGCTTTGAAATTTTGGTGAAGCGTGCCTGGCTGCGTATATCAAAGCATCCCCTCATCAGAGGGTTTCTCCAGCAGCCACTGTGCCTTTTGATTGTTCGTAAACATCAGTAGGCCTTCCAGCGCAACCGTGTCAAAACTTGGCTTTCAGTACGCTTTGAGGATTCGCCCAGGTAGGACGACGCATCGTCGTTCTCCTCCGCCTAAAGCGCATACTTCTCAGTGCCTACGTACATAATGTCTCCTTGCGCAGCGATGTGCAAACCCTGGTAAACAAGAACTCTACTGTTTCCGAATGGAAAGACGACGCTGAAGACGATAAGCAACGTTTCAAACGCGAGCAAACAACAGTTCTTTGTGAAAAAACTCTTTGCTGGTAATGTACGTGATCTACAACTCGCAAAAATGTACGCACTATGACGTATGCGGGATCTACTGAAAGCTGAACGTCAGAGCAACACGATGCGCCCAACTATCAGCCCGTACAACGAAGCATAGCGCGTACCTGTACAGTTTAGCGCATGCACTTGACTGGTGCCACGCAAGTACGCACTCTCACCTCAGCAAATTTTGACAGGTTCTGTCACGTGACTGAAGTGCCTACTAATACAAACTAACATGACTGTACTGACGTTCTACAACTAACTGGCTATCAGCTTGTCTTGGTTGCGCTCACCTCCCCCCCCCCCCCCCCCCCACACTATGTATAATAGTAATACAACCCAACAGTACGCTTGTACGTGAAATATAAACCGACATACAAACCGAGGCAAAGCCGGGGTTTGTATGATGGTTTATATTACACCTACAAGCGTACTAGTGGGATGTAATACTTATGCTGACCTTCATACAAACTGACAGTCAACTTCTTCCTGTTTCTATGGTGGCGGTCTATATGGGGTTTGTATGGGGTTTGTATGAGGTTTATAATAATAAAACTTTATATGCCCAGTATAAGCCGCCAGCATGATGGGCAAGTTGACTGGAAGTTTGTATGAAAGGTCAGCATAAGTGTTATCATATCTTAGAACCTTCCAAGTAATAGTTGGAAGGCTGTTGGAGTGCGCATCCAAGATGTGCTAGAGCCGACAGCCAGTTCGTTATTATGATTTGCCTGGTGCTAATACTATTGCAGGTACAAGCTGTGCGTGTACATAAAATAATGTCTGCTTTCACGCTAAAGAGAAAAGTAGCGCGGAGAAAGCTGTCTCTTTCCATTTTTCAATATTTGGGATGGTTCTATGCTTATAATTATAGCCCTCCTAGATATGAGATCAGGGAGGTTACCATGGAAACTATCCCAACCAATGATGGTTGTGGGTAGGGTTAGACTACCAAGCACTGTAGCGGCTATTGGCATCTTTTGAGTTGTCGAGCGGCCACGTGCCGCTGGCCTTGCAGCCGTGAGCACTGCTGGTCCATTCAGCAGCAGTGTTACAGCCTGTCAGTGCTGTCAGTGCGAGTACATGTAAAGGCACCAGCCCCCGGTCATTCCACCGGGTTTCAACGTCCACAACAGTACATGTGCCATCAGCTGGTGTTGATTGTAACTGCGAGTTGTAAGCATCATATCAAACCGATGTCTTGCATGGCGGAACACTGCATTATGCGCCTCATAAATAATCAGCTGGGCCAGTATCCAGGCAAAGGTGTGCACATAGACTTGGGAGCCGTCACCTTTCATGTAGACGGGGCTTCAGTTTAACTCAATCTGTTTTCAGAGACTTTCTTTCCTGGTTTGGCCACCACACTCTAGGAGCATATTTACTCTGTGTGGGTGCTTAGTGACCCGCTAAGGGATGTATCTTGATGAGCTTCATAATTCCAGTCATCAGGAAATCACACAGGAATACTGAAAATCCCATGAGATCAAGCTTGGCACTTGAGATGAGAGCCATGCCCGATCTAGCAATACGCTGTCTGATGTTGCGGGACATAAGCAACATGATGGTGCTTTCAACTAAACTTCCAACCCCGTAACACACTCGCTGTCCTCGGCTAGACCATGCACAGCGATTGTTTTCAAATTTCCACGCAGGAGGGCATCATCAGGGAGGGCATCAACCCCAATGCTGCCCTCCTGGGTGAATATTTGGAACCATTTGTTGTGCGTGGTGAAGCCAAGGACTGTTTATGTGTTACAGGTTGGACGTCTAGTGGAAAGATGACAAAGCTACCATGGAGCTTCAAGGTTCTGAACAAAAATTATGGTTCTCATCTGCAATAAAATATCAGGTCTTCGTTCTTCATTTTGTATTGTATTGTATTGTATTTATTTAAAAGGATTCTCCAAAAGCAAATGGATGCTTATCACGGAAGTCTCCCACATAAATATCGCAAGAAAAATGGGGAAATGGGGAGAGGAGAGTGGAAGATGAAGCATGGGAAGAAGGGAAACAAGTACCTAAATATCGAGGTATAAAAGCAGGAAAGAAATCGACGAGGGAAGATTTTGAAATCTGACTTGACGAAAGTGCCCTGTTCTCGCACAAACCTTCCTGTTTCTGTGCTCAGGTTGTATACGCTGGAGTCACTCATCCGTACCGCCATCTTGTTGTCATGGCAGCCCAGGCCAGCAAAAAGCCGTGCCTTGTGGAGAACCCCATGACAGTGACCGCAGAAATGGCCGACCGCCTGATCAACACAGCGCGGCGGGAGAAGATTTTCCTAATGGAGGTAAACAGTGACGCAGAGTGACTCGTTAGGGAAATCACTTTTTTTTTACCATGCCTGCATCAGACAGAATCAAGGTCAGTTCTGAAGACATTAAGCATGTGTTCTGGTTACATTGCGGTACACTGATAGGTTGCACTCTAAAAACAAAACATGTGATGTAAACACTAGAACACTAGAGTGGTGTTCGTACTGTTGTGCTCGCTGAAATCCGACCAGAAGTGCAAAGCTGGTGCCCTGGACCAGTTTCGACTACATCACTGTATTTGTACATGTGTATGTCCAGCCGTATTCGTGCCACTTCCAGGGCGTAAAGGGCCGTGCAAGTTGAGGGCGCCAAACGTGCACGTCAGGTCGGATTTCACCGAGCGCAACCGTGTGTGATAGCATTACAGCGAGAGAGGTAGGGCTGACGGTGGTCATGTAACAAGAACAGTCGGTCACGTTGTAGGCCTGCCCAAAGCTCTCCATGATCTATGGGTTTGTTTACCTGCAGGCGTTGTGGACCGCTTTTATGCCAGCATACGACTTTGTCCGTGACCTTCTGAAAGAAGGCAAGAGTGGACCAATCGGGCAACCCAAACTGGTGACTTGCCATACAGGGTATAAGGAGAGGCCCTGCTTACCACTGCACAAGCTGAAGGACAAGGGGCAGTCTGGCGGGGCAATGATGGATATCGGCATATACGGCCTGTATGTGGCTTTCATGGCGTTCGACGGAGACCACCCAAAGCAGGTGAGGACTCGGTCTGTGTACTACTGACCTTGGTCTCTATCCCGGCTACAGCTATCTATCACAGCCGCTGTGCAGTCGGCATGTAATCGTACGTCACATGGTTTTGGCCGGGTAATATGGCAGGTTTTCACCCAGATCTCCACTTTCGGCAAGGTTGTACTGATTCTCTGTAGTACACATGTGAATGCTGATATTTGTGTGTCACGTATCGTTTCCCTGTTTGCCAGGTCGCTGCGTGCGGTACCCTTTACGACACGGGCGTGGACGAGATGGTGAATATCACGCTGAAGTACCGAGGCAATCGCATGGCCGTCAGCACTGTCAGCACGAACACGGCGCGGCCTCTCAGCGAGGCAACTATACATGGCACTAAGGGTAAGCCTTAGCGTCCTCTACGGAAGATTTTTGAAATTTAGAACCTAAGTGCCGGGGGCGAAAGGTGGTAAGGTCACTCTTGTAATTTGTAAATGTTTTTGCATTGTTTTTGCTTACTGCCATGGCTGGCTATCGCCCCCTCTCTCCATATTGGCCTATATTCCCTGGGCACGGGAAGGTGAAATAAAATAAAATAAAAAATAAAAAATACCATAGTATGATAGTGACTGCAGGCGCATAGCTCGTGAATAGTCAGTGTAGTCCAGTCAGCACACCAGCAAACTGCCACCATAGGTTCTACATACCGTATTTTTCGGAGTATAGTGCGCACCTTTGTATAACGCGCACCCCCAATCTTCATTGGGGGTGCGCACTTTAATCTTCATTGAAGTACATGCATTTCATATTCGGAGCATAGTGCGCACCTGCGATTTAGGGCCTAAAATAGCACATCTAAAGTGCGCACTATACTCCGAAAAATACGGTAGTCGAAATGGGAGAACAAATGTGGCTGCTATGAGGTTGCCGGTGGTACATGGTCATCACACCACAGATGTACTCCAGTACAAGACCACCACACCAGAGATGCGTGAGCTATGCCCCTGGTACTGTAGCATGTCTGATAAGAGATACAGTGCTGCTAATAGCTGCGAGTTCATGCTTTGAGCACTGAACCGAATATCTGACACCATTGCCTTGTGTGTGTGTGTGTGTGTGTGTGTGTGTGTGTGTGTGTGTGTGTGTGTGTGTGCGTGTGTGTGTGTGTGTGTGTGTGTGTGTGTGTGTGTGTGTGTGTACGTACACATAATGTGCAAGCATGCATGTCACATCGCTGTGCATTTTGGTGCATTGAGCATTGTAATGTTGTTTGAGCTGTCTTGACTACAGCTGATCATGTATCGATAAGCAGTCTAATTTGGTGTAGCTTTCGGATTACTCACTCAGCTGCTACATACCTATTGCTTTGTGTGTAGATAACAAACCTGTGGCATGGTGCATCTTGATGATATATGTATCTTCACTCCACTGCAACTACGAAAGTACTCCTTTGTACACAGTGACTCCAATGAGTTGATCTCCTTTTCTCCATTCCTCTTCTGATATGGTTTCATGTCCCCATTTATCAGGCTTATAGCCTCAAGCTCTTTTTTTGAATCACCAAACCTGCTGTTTCCGTTCGTCCAGGCTGGGTGCGCCTCTGCCATCCGTTCTGGTGTTGCACGAAGGTGATGATTCAACGTGAGGATGGCAGCCAGGAAGAGAAAGAATTTCCCGAGGACAGTGGCCGCTACAATTTTGTCAACAGCTCCGGACTTCGTTATCAAGCAGATGCTGTGAGTACATGCACCTCTGTACCTTTAAAAATCATGAAATTGTCCGTTTCCAAGCTTTGAGCTGAGCTTCAAGGTTTGCCAATATTCTTACCTCTAAATCTTTTTCCGTCAACAGCGACAATGGGATCCCACAAGACTTATATTGTAAAGAGGGTGCTGGCCAAGAAGGCCAAGCAGAACCGTCCCGTGCCCCAGTGGGTGAGACTGAGGACTGGCAACAAAATCAGATACAATGCCAAGCGTCGCCACTGGCGCAGAACTAAGTCTTCTCATGAATCGATCTCCAGGCTTGTCAGCCCGGAGATCTGAAAGAACCTGATTGTGGGGACGGTTTGTCCTCATTATTGTGGAAAGCTCTGTACACCTATTTAAAGTGGCCGATGCGTGCATCTTCATTTCCCAAACATGATATGCAAGCTGTCAGAAGTGGAGAGGTGATTCTGGACTACCAGTATCCTGATCTAGAAAATCAATGTGTAAAATACCATTTTTTATTTCCTCCTGTCACTATCTTCATAAAAAAAACACTTAGATTTGATTGTGGCCATTGTGATCACATGATTGTATCATCCAATGTGGCAGGGAGTATGTTGGTGGATTGTGCTTGCCAAAACCACATGACGAGTATTTGTTTGGCTAAATGTGAGTATTTAGTTCTTCAAGTAGAACCGGTGGGGGCCTTGCATGATATTAACATTGAGAACAGCCTCAAAGAGAAGTGGCGAGCACACATGCTCATTCCCGGCTGGGCACTGCAAAAGTCACAACTCATTTCACAGAATCATTTTTCGACGATTCGTCAAATTGCCCTCATCAGGATGCAATATGAAGCGGAAGTCTTCGAAGGAGCAGTTATATGCAATACAATAATCTGGTGTTATTTTCAGTGAGGTGTTGATAATATTTCTACTTTAAGTATGACTACATATGTTACCTCTGTTAGAACGGTCTCTTTCTGCAATTTGCTCCTTAAAGAGCCTGATCTATCAACATCGAGAACACACATATTCTTGCACAGAAAACTCATCATATGCTACTCATTCTTCTGCCGGCACTAAAAGCCGCTCACATTTTCCAGCAAAGTGACTTTGGTGCAAAACTCCAACAAATGAAGAGACATTCGCCTACAGAAGTAGATGAAGCAGGCTTTCTACAGAGCTCACAAGAAAGTGAGAAATGCCTCTAGTCTGCTGTGAACGTCCCTGCAACATTAGCTCACTATTAGTATTTTTTTATGGGTTGTTCATTTCGAATGTGTTTCATGCCTGCCTGTGCCTATTTCACCTAGCTACGGGACTGTTTTCTGGCTGATAATGAATTGGAAAGTTCAGTGCTGCCTCTCGAAGCTAGCAGCCAGTTCCGACGCATCACGGACGAAGTGCGTAGGCAGCTGGGCGTCCAGTTCTCCGAAGATGCTGGGCACTTCAAGACCTAGGGATCGATGAATCACACCACACACACACTGAACAAGCTTAATTACACCGACTTGAAAGCGGTATGGAACACGGATTGTCGTTGAATTTAGTTTTCGTGATAGAATATCAATAACCGTCTGCGATAGTCTTGGTGAAAATTTAAAATCTGCATTGAGCCACCAATTTTATTCCCGCATTGGCTTTGGTCACGTAAACGTGTTGAAGAAATAGATAGCACGCTATCTGTCCAAATTGCTAGTGGTGACCTCCTACTTTGCTCTTTTCATATAATCCCTGCGTCTGTTCTTTTCATAGGGACTTTTTCCTCTAGGTTACAAGACACACCATTATGGTCCTGGGATCAGTTGGGTTGGGATCAGTTGGGTTCTCCCCCCCCCCCCCCCCCCCCCTCCTCCCCACCCGCCTACACACAGAACCACTATCCTTACTCCTCCATTTCGGAGATTGATGCTTCCGGCTCAGCTATTGATAGGAGTGTCAGCAGCAACATGATTTTTCTTGGCAAAATCCATAGTTGATTGTTTGCAAGGCGCATAGCAGGTGTAATATCTCGCCACTTCCATTTCCATCTTCTTTCTTTACCTCTACTGTGGTTGTTCTTTTCTTTGAGCCAGTTTGGTTTTCGTAAGGACAATTGCTTCATACAGTAGGTGCGTGAATCATGGTTTTGTATGGGGAGGGGAGAGATAATACTGCACAGAGAAGAACTCACAGAGTTGTCCAGCGCGCTCTTCGACCATCGACACTTTTGCTCGCGTGCAACGTATAATCGTGAGCACAAGGGCCCCGGCCAAGTTCAAAGATCAATTGCACGTGCGTACGTGTCCAAGTTTATCATATTCGAGTAAATATCCTTGGAAACGGTACGATAAAAGTGAGTTTGCACGTCGTGTAGCCATTCACATCTGGGGCCAGCTGTACACCGGAACCTTTTGAGGGGCCATGGCGCATGAGTGGTCGGCTAGTATTAGTAATACGTACTGTAAAAGCCATTATTCTAACGAGGCGCATATATATAACGATTTCCTAAAATTGACCAGTTTACGTGTATCAAAGGTAACGATTCTCACTCATTCTCAACGCTCAATAGCAACACTATGACATAGTTGTATAGATTTCTGTCTAACGTTTTCTATTTTAACGACAGATTTCTCCTCGTTAATTCGTTAGAATAAGCACTTCGTTATAATATGGCTTTTACAGTATCTATTATTGACTGAGTACGAGGTCAGTATAGGAAATAAAACCTCGTGAAAGACGGCGCCGCAGTACGGGAGACCGCCGGACGATCACGTTGACAAACCCGACGGCGGTAACGGGAAGAGCGTCACGAGGACGAAGCGATAACAAGACAGATCTGAGGAGAAGCCAGAGACTAAGGGGCGTTCGAATTGTCTTCATCAACTTTTCGAACAAATTTTTGAAAGAGATAAGTTGAAGTGTCCCAATAGAACGGTTTCTATCATTTTAGAGTTTTTCAGTGGAATGGACCGTATGCGTGTTAAAACAAAATGGCGTCACGATTTATTGAAAGTGGTATAGTTGGTGGAACGAGTGTTCAAACCCATTTGAACTTCATACTGTTCGTCTTCTTTTTGACATGCTCTCTTTCCATCGTCCTTAGCTTTTGTTTGTTGAGAGCTGTTTTGGCTTTCTCCTATACCTCTGGGGGATGCCAAGTGATGGTTTTGAGAGGCTGGTGATGGCTGTGAGCGAGAGTTTGCCAATCGGCGTCGTCCTCGCTATAGCGATGAAAATACTAGTTACTGCGCACCTGGCAGATATCACAACACGTCGGAGCGTCCAGGAGCAAAGGAATCTTGGGTTTTCACTGGAATCTAGTTCCTCCAGCATCGTGTAGCCCACCGTCGGTGAATGGCGGTCCAGAAAGGTCGAAACTGGTCTTCTGCAGCATCTCGCAGTCCTGCGAGGCACACTGAATACGCCTGTCATGTATTCTACAAATAAAAATCACGAAGTAGTGGACTTTACAGTGATGAGTCTATCCTGTATGCTGCAAAAGACGCAGGAAATGTGACTGGTGTCCGTACACTGGACGCCAATATCATCCCAGTCTTCTCCTGCAGGATCTGTTTGACATTGACATACCGGTATGCAGTGGGTCGACATTGGCCTGGTTTGGCAGCTATCTGCCTGGGTGGATGTAGCAGGTTTGCATTGGCGCGTCGTCCAGTCCGACATTTTCTTGTAACTGTGGAGTACCGGCAGGGTCTGAGAGGTTGCTCGTGCTGTGAACACATCTCTACTGCCTGTCTCGTCCTGGAAGTGCCGTCTCGCCGCTTCCTTGCTCTACAGTCACGCCGTTATTTCGCTTTGTTTCGTGGTGCAGCTCAAAACCTGCCCAAACAACTGTGAGCTCGCAACATGGTATGGACAAATTGCACCACTCATGTTGATTAACTAAAACCGGGATAGTCGAGTAAGCGAGTTCACTCCCTGGGCCATGGCAAGATCTGTTCAGCGCGGGCTATTCCAACCTCCAAGTGCATAGTCACCGATCGATCCATGCGATGGTGGTTGACCTACAAAGAGCCAAGGTCTACGAGTACTACTATTGGATGCTGTCTACATGCAGTCAACAAAATCAAAGTACCTCAGTATGCCCCAGAACAGGGCATGTGCATCTATAGCATGACACAACAGGGGTTCTGGCGGCACCTGTCAAACAAGCAGTAGCGACTAGTGCCAGCTACCTATTGGAGGCTAGCCGCTACAGTCTGTCACTGGAGATAATTATCATGTTCACTGTTTAGACTGAGCACAATCAATGATGCCCAATCAATCTGCCCAATGTGTGTTCTGTTCCACCTAATTATAACGTCCCATCGCATCAACCCTACTACACGCACATGTCGTCACTCTAGCACGACTTGTGTTATTATTGTTTATTTTGATTCGCACGATAAATAGAGCACAATAAACGTTAACTTGACCGAAGGTTAAAGGCGACTGCAGATAGAGGAACACATCGAGGTACAGGTACCGGCATCAATACAGTATCAGAGAGGTACGCAGAAAAAACTCTCGTAAGCCCAAGGGGAAGTGGTTGATGAGGGATGAATGCACTCTCCACGCTCGTCTACACTGTTCGTGGAAATGCACACATACATACAATAATATACAACATAGCAATAGCATGCACAGAACCGAACAATTTCATGCTCACACATGCAAGCACAGACCTGAACATTAGTACCAAAAGCCGATACAGACAATATCCCCATACACACAGACGCACACACACACAATGTCCCATGTATGCGCCCGTGGCGAGAAAAGCACGCAAATCTAAAAATGCACTGGATGTGAACCCACAGGTTTTCTCTAATAGCAATGGTAGCGGATCTGATTCTGAATGAAACACACACACAATACAATTATTGAATGCCCATCCGCAGATGATGGCAGGTCCTGAAAGAACAGGCAGTGTTCCAGTGATGGGGAACAGAACTTCGAGTGGCGAGTGAGGTATACACACACACGTGCGTGCGCGGGCACACACCAAAGTATAAAGAAAAAGAATCGACATCGTAGTATTCATTGGTTGGGGAATGGAAAGGAAAATAAAACATTGCTGTAGGTTATTGTTGTAAGGACACTGGGAGCACAACAGAAAGGTAAGCAACTTGCTTTGAAGCAAAGAAAGTTATTATTCCACGGATCTCAGAAGGAAGGAACGTTCCAGAATGCTGCACTGGCAACAGGCGGCCTGCATGTGCGCGGCCCCTGCAGTCGGTCCAGCTGCCGGCCTTGCAGTGCTGAAAAGAATGTGCAGTACAGCATGTCACATAGTATCGCAGCCTGGACAAATAGGCGCTGGGAAGTCCTAGTTATGTGCTCACCTACACCACGATGCACCAATCTTCTGAGCTACTTTGGCAACAATTTTGTCCACTTGAGACTCCCATGGGCTGAGCCAGTTGTTGAGGGCTGCATCAAGGTGGACGGCAATGACCGCTGATGGCAAGGCAATCCATGACACACAGTCACTAGGGCATCGTCAACATGGCGCTGAGGCTGGATGAATAAAATCAACCTTTAGGCTGCCGCGGGATTGACAACGAGGCCGCTGTCTCGAAGCTAGTCAGTCAGCCTGGTCACCGCCATTGACGAACCAGTCGCCACCGCCAGCAGTGGCGGTAGGTTGTGACAAGTATGGTGCAATATTGTCAGCAAATTCAGTACTCAGGATAAGATGAGTGACAAAGGGAACGTTGTGTTTGATAATATTGAAGTGAACAGGGATGATCACAAACCCTGCGTGTACTCCACCGTGAGTTACAAGAAAATTCCGGACTGGACGACGAGCAAACACCAACCTGCTACATCCAACCAGGCAGATACTACAACGATAGCTGCCAAACCAGGTCAATGCCGACCTACTGCATAATGTCAATGTCAAACAGATCCTGCAGGAGAAGACTGGGGTGTTGGCGTCCAGTCACTGAGTGTACAGACACCCGAGTCACATTTCCTGCGTCTTTTGCAGCATACAGGATAGACTCGCCACTGTAAAGTCCACAACTTCGTGATTTTTATTTGTAGAATACATGACAGGCGTATTCAGTGTGCCTCGCAGGACTGCGAGATGCTGCAGAAGACCAGGTTCGACCTTTCTGGACCGCCATTCACCGACGGTGGGCTACACGATGCTGGAGGAACTAGATTCCAGTGAAAACCCAAGATTCCTTTGCTCCTGGACGCTCCGACGTGTTGTGATATCTGCCAGGTGCGCAGTAACTAGTATTTTCATCGCTATAGCGAGGACGACGCCGATCGGCAAACTCTCGCTCACAGCCATCACCAGCCTTTCAAAACCATCACTTGGCATCCCCCAGAGGTATAGGAGAAAGCCAAAACAGCTCTCAACAAATAAAAGCTAAGGACGATGGAAAGGGAGCATGTCAAAAAGAAGACGAACAGTATGAAGTTCAAATGGGTTTGAACAATCGTTCCACCAACTATATACACTTTCAATAAATCGTGACGCCATTTTGTTTTAACATGAATATCGCGGATTGTCCTGGCGGTAATGACTTCCGATCAGATCGACCATCTCCACGTACATGTAGCTATTCCAAACTCTTCGGAACTAATCCACCTCTCCCATCGGATGAGGTTGTGGAGTTTCGTTTTTATGAAGAGGCCAATAAGCCACCTATTCAGAAAAACGAAACTCCTCGAAAAGTCAAAGAGTGACGATTCGAACGCACCCTAGCCTAGGACAGATCAGTCATCATCATGACTCATTCTACAAACATTTTGTCATACATGATACAGCCTACAGCTATACAGGTTATTTTCGCTACATTTTTTGTTCTAATCGACAATACCGATCGTCGACAAGATCAGATCTGCACAGTGTCTTTACTACTTGTAGCTGCTGATGAAGTAAGTAAGTTTTGTAACCAGTGCTTGTAACATTGTTGAGTGTTGGGAACGGGAGGCCGCTCACGACCATGGAGCGCGCTGCAAGCGTTGGAATGGTCGCGTCGTGCTTCGGATCCGCTGCCCTAGCGGTTGCGTCTCTGGCTACTCCGTCGTGGATCGTATCTAATTTTGCAGGTAAGAAAGGGCACGACACTGACAAGGTATATCACTATCTCCAAGCCTGAATACTGCAACCAGTAGCGTCACGTGTGTTCATTTTGTCTTGTATGCACCCATGGGTTTGGTTATGGAAAGCCCCTCGAAAAACTCCCCACAGCCTTTGCCTTGGTCAATCCCTAGATCTAAATTTAATTCAATGAATCAATCAGAATTTCCCTGAGGTTGCCCTGAGGATATTCCAGTCTAGAAATATCCTCTTGTATCTGTTTACTTTGGTACCAGCCAATGGACCAACCAAATGAGTAGCTAAGCTCTGTGTCTGGCAATACCAGTGTTCTCCTAAGCATCCATGGAGTGCCACTACTGGTTCATCCTCGGTTCCAATACGACAATATCTTCTTGCCGAGGAGCGAATCAATTCTGATACTGACTGAAACGATGCAGTCGGGAAGCTAAAATAGCTCTTCAAAACATTGCCCTTGCATGAAAACTGCTGTAATGAAATCAGTCAAATAGGTCTGAAGAACATGATCAATATTTGCAAGTATTGGGATGAGGTGCAAATTAAAATTTAATAATTTGAGTCCTGCATTATACTCGTAGGCTGTTGATGGAACATTGCAATACGGCGAATACGCGTCGCGTTTTTGTATTCCACGTACTGGCAGACGTCGTTTTCATGCAAGTGCATCCACACAGGCATGTACACGTTGCTCGTACAGCTGTGCGTACAGCTTTTTTGCCGAACACAAACTGCCGGGAGTGACAGAGCGCATCTCGAAACAGGGGTCTGGATACGGTTTCATATGAAGCGTTCTAATTTCCTGCCACATTCCATGTTGCCATGGTTTTCCATGTTGCCATGGCTATCCGGGCGAAAACATCACGCATCCCAGGTTTTTGGGCGTATTGTGAATGGCCCATAACTTAGTTCCTGCCATGTGCGTACAGGGGTGTGCATTTTCAAACCTGTGTGAGCGTGTCCCTGTATGAGAGTGTCCATGGCAGTGTACACAGCATGATAGGTGCGGGAAGGCACTTGGAGCAAGTTGTACTAGCTCAAGAGAGTGCTCCATACACCTGGGTACAGAGCATAGAAGGTAAAGGAAACCTTGCTGTTTCTCGGAGGTTTTTGCAGGAAACGATCATCAGACAGCGCATGCATGTGTGCAGGAATCCATGTGCTCTTCTTGTGTGTGTGTGTGTGTGTTTGTATGCGTTCTTGTGCACTGCCGTCCGTGTGTGAATGTGCCACTGAATGTATCTGTTCAGGCTCAAAGAAGCTTGGACTGGTGTTTGCGTGCCGTCAGCCGACTGGCTTTCCAGAGTGGTGCGGTGCAATGACAAACACGCCGCGTGAGTGGATGGTAACTACTTGCTTGATAACGGCTGGAGCGCTGGTTCTACTCGGTGCCGACGTGTGTTTGCTCCTCGCCGAGTGGAAGAAGAACAGGAGGTTTCTGACGTGGACAAAGCTGTTGGCAGCCGGAGGAGGTGAGTACGGTTTCCAGCCTTAGAGGGTGTGTATGCCTGAGTTGTACTTTCAAACCGTACACTAAGGCAAAACAACAGAGACTTTCCGTATTAGACCCAAGTTTCGTGTTCAGAAGCATTCATCAGACAGTTGGTACTATTTGCAGCAAGAACCCTGGAAACTCTTGTCTAAGTTCTTTTTTACTACCATACTTTCCCAGTTCAGAGCCTCACCCCATTGGTGTAACCCCTATCCTCACACCCCGTCACTTATTCTCAAATAATAATTGCCCGTTGGGGCTTTATCAGGGAGTACTGGAAATCACCGTTGACCTGCCCCATTTTCAGTTTCAGCCCATCATTATTTTCTGCCTGTGAAGCGACATCAGCGCACATGCATACGCCGAAATTGGCCCTACGGTCTCGAACTGATGCATCATGCACTGCTGTATGTAGCACAGGAAAAAATCATTTCATGGTTCGGGTAGACACAGTTTCGGTATCCGTGCCACCCCCAAGGATCACTCTAGGATCATTCAAGGCGCAGTTGCAGCTCCATAAGTGAACGTTTAATGTATGGTAAACACCCGGCTCTTCGTTCTGGGCACATTGTACGTCACTGTGCAGTGCTGCTCAGTGCAATCCAATCATGTGAGTGGAGTCTGTGCCATATATTATTATATACAGGTGTCACTCACTGACTTGTCAGTTTGAGCACTCTGGCAAGGTACGTTCGGGCCTGATTGGAAATTTTTTATTTCCATTGCTATCAGGTTCGGCCTCATTTCTCTGTGCTGCGCTGATGAGTTCAAAAAGAACGAAACAGCATGCTGTCCGCAGATTGAGTATTATATAATTATATAGAAGCCTTGCTTGATACAGTGAAACCTGTCTAGGCGACCACTCGGATACGGCCACCACCTGTTCTACAAGACCACTGAAACCAGAATCAAGGGATGCTCTTTCCAGTCAAACGACCCTGGATAAGGAGACCACCTGGTAACAAAGACCACATTTCAAAGGTCCCTTGAGCGGTCGTCTTCGGCAGGTTTCACTGTAGTTTAAGCCGGGGGTTGTCCCCATACGGTTCAAATGGTCGCAAGACCGGGACTCTGCCGACCGGGTTATGGTTGTAGTCAGGAGCACTATGCGTCCTCGCCTTGTAACATGCTGTCAAAATCGAAAACAAGTCTGTGCCCCGCACCAACCGATTCACATCCCAGTGTCTAGGGCGGCTGCATAGCGCCCGGCGTGCACTGGACTCGTGCAATCGGATTTCATCGAGCAGCACTCACTGTACACGACATACCGCCCTTTAAGTTTTATGTCAGGTGAGTTTCACCGGAGGATGCCTTTAATCGGTGCATCTAGAAATCTAGTCGATTAGTGATGAATTCTGAATTCTATCAGAAATTGAGTTAGGGATGGCGTTCCCTCCGGCGCTGTATCAAAGTAAACGGAAAAGGGGTGCTTTGGAAAGCATGCAATTTACAATGTGGTGTATTTACTGCTTAAAGGGGAAGTTAAGGCAACAATTAAAATTTCACCAGTTGTAGTCTTCGGGGTGCTGAGTCGAATGGTCTTGGTCCGAGAAAGCTGAGACGCTCCCTTCCTACTTGAATCCCAATCGAACTCGCGCACTTCCACCGAAACTGGGTGACTGCGCCCTACTAGATGGGGATTTGTATGCAAAATGTCACTAAAAGCGCCATTTCGTTCTTATAAAAGCACGGATGACCGCGATTGGCCCATATGTTGTAGTCTTTTGGACGCTGAGTCGACTGGTTTTGGTCCGAAAAGGCTGCGATGCAGCGCTCCTCCTTTATTCCCAATCGAACATGGTTGAACAAGCGGTCACGTGCTCGTGGGTGCCCAAATCACCTGGTCACCACGCCAGCAGGCGACAAATTTCACACCAAGGTTCAACACGAGTGACAGGAGTGCACCCAAAAAAGGTCAAACAGGCTAGTAAGTTGTACCCTGCAGGCACGGTGACCAGGTGACTGGTGTACGCAGGAGCACGTGACCGCTTGTTCAAGCATGTTCGATTGGGAATAAAGGAGGAACGCTGCATCGCAGCTTTTTCGGACCAAAACCAGTCGACTCAGCGTCCAAAGGACTACAACATATGGGCCAATCGCGGTCATCCGTGCTTTTATAAGAACGAAATGGCGCTTTTAGTGACATTTTGCATACAAATCCCCATCTAGTAGGGCGTAGTCACCCAGTTTCGGTGGAAGTGCGCGAGTTCGATTGGGATTCAAGTAGGAAGGGAGCGTCTCAGCTTTCTCGGACCAAGACCATTCGACTCAGCACCCCGAAGACTACAACTGGTGAAATTTTAATTTTTGCCTTAACTTCCCCTTTAAGTTGTTGCGGCTGAAACAGTGCACTGTACTTCTTCTTCTTCTTTTTTTTCTCTCCACTACAGTGATGTTCCTGTGTTTGGGGACATTGGTGTTTCCAGTCGGTTTTGCGCTGGATGAGATAGGCGGCGCACCATACAAGCTCCCTCACTTCATGAAGCTCGGTCCTTCCTTCTCCATGTTCATCATATCCGTCTTTCTGTCCATCATCTCAAACTTTCTGGCTAACAAGACCTGTGAGCGACCTCACTTCAGATAGCACGGATTGGCGAAGGGACGTCACCATTCTTTTAGCTGTTCACTGCCGTCCCTCATGCGCCTAAAGGCATAATCCTCTCCTCCCCAGACTAGTCAATGTTTCTTGATTCGATTGAGTCGGTGCATGTGACTGCATGCAGGGAAGCAGCGCAGCACATCATCGTCACACTGATTGTACGTTCTCAGTACTGAGCATGTACCGGTGGTACTAACGTTTCTTGAGCAAGCATGTATGTTCATGTGTCAAGTTAGTTCGCTCTGAAGAGTGAAGTAATGGTCAAGGGTTGTCACGGCGATCCGAATATAGCATATGCTGAACATCATAATCGTGATACTTGAGTATGTACGAAACGTTTTTTTTTTTACTGTGAAAACCCAGTACGGTGTTTTTTTTTAATACTCCCTGGCCTGTATCTGTACATCGTTTTGTGCCTGATGCATGTGAATGAGCATTGATCACTGTCTACAGTCATAACGAGCACTTCTCCAGCCACAATTCTATTGGATCCCACATTCCTATAATATTACTGTCATCATTGAAGCACTAAAATGCTAGACTATTCCCGTTTCAACCGCACAAACAGTTGAATACCGGTTATTTAAATAGATTTTTTTATTCTTGTGCTAATATCAGTCACATCACCACTTCGTCTTTCGTATCACCACTTCCGTTGAGATATTGATACCTCAGACCCATCCGCAGACATCTGTTGTGCTCCAACAGAGCTCATTATAGTGTTGGTGCAATGTAGCTAGTGTACGCTGCTATCACACACAATTTGCATTGCCAGATCTCCAATTGTACGCATACAAATTTCACGGTTCGCGTGAGACTCGCTTAGGTCGAGTTTTCCGCATCCATAGGATCTACTCAATGCCTACCTCTTTAGGAGCTGCATCTGCACCTTCATTCACGTGCATTATAACGAAGCCAACAACCGTGAACTATGCGAGGAACATGCACTATAATGCAGGAAATGCACAACGCATGCACTGGCATTGTTCAATAGGTCACAGACAGAGGCGTTGTACGAGTATCTGGTGAGGCATGCACCCTTCAGTGCAGACAGATCAGCCGCTGCTCACGGTTTCATCAGCAGACTTTGACAGAAACGCCGAGCGCCAGTGATTGTATCCTGTGCATGCTGGTTAGTAGTGGTCTTCATTCAAACGTTTCAAGGACTATGCTAGGTCAACGCGGAACTTGTGTCAGAATTGGAGCGCACAATCGTGTAATCAGCAGGGGGGGGGGGGACGATTCAGGTGTAAGGAAACACTTGTGTCTAGTACCTCGGATACATAGGGAATCACAAACGTCGGTAATAGAAAAAGCACACGTGCGCCAGTTTTGGGTGATCGCCGCAAATATGATTATCAGGAGCCAGCATATGATGATCCACGAGATGAGATTAAAATGACCTGAGCCCCTGAACGTGAGCATGTACTAGTACCCGGTGGATTGAAGAAAAGGCAGGACAAATTTGGAATGTTACTTCAAAAGAAGTTTAAACAAACACGGCTGCGAGTATCTTTGATTGTTATCATGTAAACGTGGTTCGAAGCACTTGAACATGTGTTGGATATGTAATGTTTACCAGTAAGGAGTTCAATAGGACCTACACAGGTATCATCAGACTGAACAAATTGTGTGTGTGTGTGTGTGTGTGTGTGTGTGTGTGTTTGTGAATGTGTATGTGGTTAGACCAGTATCATATCACAGCATGTTCATGTACCAGCCTCATATGATATCGCACACAATCCGGCCTCAGTATACTGCTGTTCAGAGATATCTGAGAGAACACAATCAAATAACGGAAACACAAACCAAACAGCAAATGCAACTGCTTAGGAACAGGAAAGTATTACACAGCTCACTTTTTGCCGAGACTCGCTACATGTACATGCAGCTCCGCTCTGCCCCCCCCCCCCCCCCCCCCCCCCCCGCTCAGTGTCGAGTACTTTCTGCAAGTATTGAGTGACTAGTCTGGGCTCTATGAGCGGCCACATCACTTCATGCACTAAAAATGGTCCATGACCGGTAAAAAAACCATAACCAGTGCGAACGTCCACTGTGCCCCAAGACCAAGTCACCGGAATTATATCAGAAGGAAATTTGACATTCTGTCCACAGACTCCACTATGCTAGTATTATAATTCTGCAATCAGTTCTAGACATTGGACCTATTGATGTTACAACCGTATATGAACAAACCCACACAAATACAGTATCTAACATTCTGTTAGCTTACCATCTTGTAGACTATGACATCAGTGTGTATGTCCATCACTGCTTGGCAGATAACAGGTCTTTGAACACGGTGATGTGATGCGGATAATTGATCCGCAAATCCGGGATCATGTGGCTGCTTTTCTGCGAGTGCCGAGCGCCATATTTGAGTACCATCTATCAATGTTGAAGTAAATAGTGGAGTAATTCAAAATTAAAGCTCATCCAGGAGATAAACGTCTCTATATTCAATCCGTCACTGAAGATAATCTTCAGAAGGGTGAGGCTATAGTGCGTTCCAAAAGTATAGACCTCTACTTTTTGAATAATTCAAATTTGGTTTGAGCTTTTTGAGAAATTTCTTACCATGTGGTAGGAATGTTGCTCAGGAAGGTCTCGCAATTTTTTCATATAAGTTTCTAAGCGATTGGATAAAATAAGTCCAATTACGGAAAGTTTATGCACAAAGTGATCACAGATTTAATGTGGTATATATAGATGCGATCCTAACGGGTTTTTTGAAACCAGAGGTCTGGACATTTGAAATGAACTATAACTCGTACTAGGAGACTTGCGCAACAGGAGGTAGTCAACACACCCAAACTCTCATCATGTACAAGCTCGTTTCTCCAACATGAACTGTTAGTCTGTAGAATCAAGACTGGCATTGTCAACAGGCATCATCAAAGTCACAACACTAGCACTGGAACTCACCGGAATAATATAACATCCTTGAGATTTGAGTGCCCATGCCTCAAGAGTGTTATACCCATTAGGTGTGCGTACAGGATGACGTAGTAACTGAGTGTCACTCACACCCCGACATGCCACAACACTGAAACCATGACGTTTAGCTGCTGTCATATCTACTGATACACCGTTGCATACATCAGCTGGATACGCATCAGTCTCCACTGGTTCATAGTCTTGGTTGAATATGCACAATGCCTGAACGTTCACACCATCAACCAGAGAAATGCCAGTGGTGTACTTTGAGCCAATTAAGTATGACAGCATATCATACATTCGACCTGACTGCCGACTGGTCACATCCTTCTGGAGCCGCACTAAACACCTGTCCAATATCTGTAGCCGCTGGTCGTTCGTGACAGGGAGGGTGTTGTGCAAATATAGCAGTTGCACAAGGCGAGGATCGCATTCTGCACAGAAGTCAGGGCGGAGAGAATTGAGAGAAACACACAGTGGTATGGACAAAGACCAACAGATACATTTTATAGAAAAGAATATGGACCAAGGAACTACAAGTTACGCTATAATGTCGACTAACACCACCGGTTACTAAACAATCAGCTCATGCCATAACATTGCACAACACTGACCGACTGTACTGACGTTCTACAACAAACTGGCTAACAGCTCTAGCACATCTTGGATGCGCACTCCAACAGCCCTCCAACTACATTCTAGGATGACATTGTGAAAATGAAAAAAATCAAAGATTAATGACATCTGAAAGACTAAGTGATCCATTTGTCATTTCCACGCCAACAGACTACTTCCTATAAAACAGACACAGTCAGGGGAACAACACTGGATGAATTTTTGTTGGTGTGTGAGTTACGAATTTGGTGCACATACTTCTTGAAGTACACACAAGTCCATACTGTCTGTCCTGTTTACAAACATCATCAGGATGCACATTGCAATTGTACTGCATTCTGGTGATAGCAATTTGTCGAAATGTCAAAACTGATACAGTGAACTGAGATGTGACTTTGCATAGCTGAGGAATAAAGCAGGTGTGCTCAACACTTCCCATAGTATTATGAAGCTGCAGGATGCCCCATCCATATCCCTAAAATGTACTCGACTTCAAAAATACTAACCCAAGTTTGGAATGGCTGCAGACTTTCCATCTGCATGATTCAAAATCATACCCATAATCCTGCCATCATGACTTTATTTTAAAACCCCAAGTGGAATCACCAGTTTACAACAGGGTCCTAGCCAAAGGGGGGGGGGGGGCAGCCCCCCCCCCCCCCCTACTCTGTTTGGGCACCCCCTGTGAAAAAAGTGCAGCCCCCTACTCATTCTCCGATTTTCATGTTTTTCATGCAATTCAACGAAAACACAGTGGAAAGTCACTATTAGATTGTTCATAAAAGCACATTTGTCTGGGGCAAAGTCGGGGATTCGCCCCATACGTGGCATTTAGCGTGGCAAGACAATATTGGAAAGCGAAAAAATGGGATACGGGGTACTATTTTAACCTGGCTAGAACCCTGTTACAACAGACATTATCATATGTCTAGGTGGCCATGAAGTGGAGACCCCAGGTCGGCGGAGCTCCCTAAACCTCACCATCACTGCCACTACTCATGCTGTACATGCTTCCCTAGGTGCAGGCCGTGTTTGGCATTTAAGTGGCCGTTGTAAAAAAAATAATAATAAGGGACCATCGCAAAAGTTCGCAGAAGCCCTCGAAACGAAGACCGTGAGTTTCGGGCCTGACCACCCTCCCTCCCCCCTCAAACGAAACGACAGTCACAATATGGGCTTCATTTTTTCACCTGGATGCTCACACATAATAATTATTATAATACTACACAAGCATTGTTGTATCAGTGTGTAACAATGTACAGCACTTTATAAATGCAACGATGATATCACCTTGCAGTGGGTGATCTAAGAACGAGAACAGCTAGAGGCTATGCAGTTGTATCCTTTGAGCATTACAATGAACGTTGATTGGTGTATATTGCTTTCACATTCCCCATACGCGTCCTGACAAGCGATCTACGCCGGCTGTGATGGCATGCTAATCCTACAGCTCCTATAATTATGTCGTCAATACCTTTTTGAATTGAAGCCCGGTTTGCGATTTTCGCACCGACTCCCTCCCCCCCAAACGTATGCTCTTCGTTTCAGGGGCTTCTGCGAACTTTTGCGATGGTCCCTAACAATAAACTGTATGCGATAGCGAACTTGTATTACCGGAATACTGTGGAGCAAAACCATAAACTGAGATATTTCTGTTCTTGTTTAAATGAACACCTGGTTTCGACATTGAGACACCAAGGACAATAGCTATAGAGGATTGTGGCATGGGTGTCAATTGCAACTCCGTGTGAGCGGAAATTCCACAACCTACAGACACAAGTCTCTATACAATCGTTTTCCTTCCAAAACAGACTTACTCTGTATCAGATGATCAACACTGATCAGCTCCAGCAAGGCACTGCACTCTACACCACACAGTGTACAGTAGAGAAGTAGTCTCAGTACTTCAGTATGACGATGCTTGGGATCGCCTGTACTGTGTATGGACAGGTAGCGATTCATCAAGTGTTGGGCCAGGTGACGATCAGGCATATTCAACATAAGCAATGCATGTGCACAATGATCAACATCTCTACATTCCTCAATGCACATGACATCAAGCTGCTGTTGTAGTAACTTCGTGAATCCTGGAGTTGAACATCGACACTTTGCGGCCCAGTATAGTGCCCATAACAGGTTGTGTTGGTTCTTGTTTTCTTGCCAGACGTATGTAGGTAGACTGGCTAGTTGCTTCAGAGCAGATACTGCCAACTTGGTCACGTCAGTGTTCTCCTCACTGATAAGAGCACACGCCTGCAGGATATCCCCAACCTTGCTTGGATAACGTAGTTCAGTAACATGTCGTTGAATGAGAGAACGTTGTGACAGTAGATAGCTGGGTTGAAAAGTGCGCGACTTCACGATGCTATGAAAGATTGATTCAATGGCATCATAGGCATCACGTACCGTAGTGACTTGACGACCAGGCTGATCTGATCTCCACCTAACTGACTGCCTGGACTGTGCTGATGTCTGATTCACCTTGCTAGTAACACATAACCTTGATCTGCTGGTTGACTGGACTAACCGGCTCTGTACATTCACAGCATAAACACGCTGAACAAACTTACTGACAGTCTTGAGATTGCCATGTAACTTTGAAGCAAACATGTTCTCCTGGTGATGTTGTATATTCAGTAGTACACGGGTGTATAGCGTACAGTGTATGGTGTGGATTACTGAGAATTTGTCAGAAGATTACGTACTGACGGTCTGTAGAGAATACCACACAGTGCGGCAAAATACACACACACACACACACACACAACAAACACACACAACATACACATACACACACACACACATACAACAGATAAGATACGAATATACATGCAACTGTACACAATATCTACAGCCGCAGTGCTAGACATGATGAAATCCGGGATCATGAATAATACATTTCCATACAGCGGTGCACAACCCAATGTTGGAAAGTCTACGGCTGCACAGTGTCCAGTACTAGCTGACTTTCATGAACCAGATTTCAGTGACCAACACTTACTGCCTCAATCAGATCAGTCACGAAGGACATGATTCGTAAAATTGCTTTTGGGTTTTTTCAGTAAAATGCAAAAGATCACTTCAGTCAGTTTATAACTACATGTACACGTGTTGTTTGACTTGAAAACAAACTTCAGTCAACCACATCGAAATTCTCTGGCAATTAACCCTAACTAAGGATGGGTAAACGAGTCACCAACATGTACCCCGGCGTACTCGTTCTCTACTACATGTATTTTTAGGAGTTGTTAAACCTCTCGATTTTTTCGTCGGCCAAAAGGTCGGATAGGGTGGTAAGATTATGCATATCCGATACACAACACAGTATGACATTGCCACATTGGGCGCGTTCCATTACACACAAATCAGTCAATTCTACAATAAGTTTATTGTTGACGCACTGTTCGATTACACATATTCCGTCGTTAGAATTGAATTTATCCAATTCCGTCAATTCTGAAGAGAAGGCGGAATTTCTCTAATTCTGGCGCCAGAATTGCACGCTCGGTGTGTTACCGGTCTGGTCATGCATGACTCAGGTCAAGGAAGAGCCTCCCTGGTCGGTGTGGCGCGAAAGCAGGGCTACAACTGCATGTAATTGCTACTGTCTTATGTCTTCCCGAAAAGCTATTTGCCGCAGATGAGTTTCCGCTGGGAGGTGATTGTTAGAGCAGATCATTTTGGGTGGTCCTTTCGCACACGCGTTCAGCTTTATCGAAGCCCAATATTGTTGCAGACATGGAGCCTTCACGATCACCGGGATGGACCGGTAGTCCGGTACACGAAGCTGGATCCACGTGCACGCGAGGGTGTACGTAATCTCTTTTTACGACCAATTTTGTTTGTGATATGCCATGAATAAAATGCGTTGTGAATTCCGGTCGTTTACTTACATGGCCGGAATTCGCACATTTTGGTCATTCGAGAAGTACAAAACCAGCGAAATAATTTGGGACCCTAAACTAGATGGTTACCCAGTTCCAGAATTGTGTAAACGTGTAATCGAAAGCGCCCATTGAAATCCGGAAAACTCGAACGCACTCAGCGGTCTCAGCCCGGCAGTCAACTATTGTTTCTTCAACATTCATCTTCTTTTTCGTACATACATAATTCTCTTACCCAGGTAAGTTATGATACTGATAGTGATAGCGGTATGATACAGTTGCACAGTGAATAGAGATGTTCAGGGCTGCGCAGATTACCACAGCAACACTGTTGTGAATGTAACAAACTATTAGCCACGTCAGTAGCCAATACTAGCAATAGTGCACCTTCTCAGCGATCGACGCCAGGATAAGGAATATTCTTCAACTGATTATAAACCAGCGAGTGCCACTAAGTCCTTTCTGACCTTGTCATAATGACACGCTAGCGCTAGCTGGTAGATCTACATTATGAAGGCGAGATCGAGGTGCTCTTGTTGTTTCTTGTTTTTTTGTCGTTTTTTTAGCGCAAATGGCCAAAATTTGCAAAAAGGCTTTTGATAACACACGTACACGCGTCATCACTCACGTGTCAAACCTCACATAATTATATGGACACCTAGTACCTGGCCTGGACACGGTATCGGTACCGCGTACCGGGCTGTAGCGCGCGTACAGACAGCCGCGAGTCGGTGCATGCATGATTTTCTCTGACTGCTGAGTTGGCGCTACCCCAAACAGATTTCACAAGCCGCACTCTGGAAATTACGGTAAACATGTATTCATCCGGATAGACACCCCCCCCCCCTCCCGGTAGATCCACTTATTATTCAATACGAGATCAAAGCTTAGAGAGCGTGTGTGGGCAGGCGTGTGTTTACCGCCATATTGCCAGGTGTGTCTTTACCTTTTATTAACCATGATAAGTACTGAGCTGCAATGGTGTCTTCAACTAATTACATGTACTTCATTCTCCCGAGATAAAAGAAAGCAAAATTATTCAGAACGGAGCAGCAGTGATATCCTGGACATGCGTACACTACATGACATATTGTTAGATTGACAGCATGAAACAAGGTGGAGGACACTGTGTTCGGAAACAGTGGCCTTACTACAACCTCCGCGGTTGGCAGAGCCCCGGTCCCTTCGGACCATTTCAACCATAATTATTATGGATGTTGTACCCGGTTCTGACCCTCATTATGCTAGGGGAGTTTTAGACTTCTCCTTACATCGGTCGTGTATTCTTTGATCGCTCGTGGATGTCGTCCTGGTAGTTATGTCAGGCCCGTAGCAGCCCCATTTAGGTTGGTCCGGCAAGATCCGACTTTGATGCTCCCCCCTCCCCCCCCCCCCCATACTCATACATATGCCGGTACATGTACATGTACATGACTTTATCTTGCCCGTAAAAGAGGCCATTACCCGCCAAAAAACAAAAAAAAACATGTACACACATTGTACATGCATGTACATGTACATGTACATGTACATGTACATGTACATGCATGTAATCGTGACCATGCAGAGTGACATAGGGCGAGAAAAGGAAGAAGGACGTTCTGCATGAGTCAGGAAAAGGGCATCAGCATGTTGTGTCCGTCCAAACAGAACTTGTTGAAGCCTGTGAAGGCATAGCAACAGTATCTAAATGCATGTGATAAAAGAACCAAAATGTACCTTTGGAGGAGGAGAAAGGGTATTGCAATGGACTATCTTTGGTACAAACCCTATCTAGAAAGAATTGGAGGAAGAAAAGAATCCGAACACGTTTCAGGAAGTACAGAGTAGGAACATTCACGGGCATGACTGTCCTCATGACCTTCAGCAGGGTCATATTCCTGATGACATGTACAATGTACAGTCTGTATCGGCTATATATAGCGTACCCTTTTGATTTCCGTGATTTTATCACTATAACCGATGCATCACTATATGCGATACGATCGATTTTCTTCGATCGACACGTGAAAGGCAAGGAAATACTTCCAGCATGGCGTTTTAACAAATGAGCATGCTGCATAGTTGACAGTGCCCGCATTTCCATAAAAATATTCTGTTATGTACATGTACATGTGTCACTATCAAAATAAGCAACGTGAAGAAAGTAAAAAATAGGGCCTTTGATATTATTGCAACTTGTATTTTAAAGTTATCACTACAGGCGATAATAATGTAGTGTGTTATGCATGTTTTGATTCTTTGTTGCCATCGTAATATCCGATATATCATTACATCCGATAATATTGGTTATAGTGATATTTGTACTGGATAAAATACGTTTTGCTTTTGATATTTCGTACCAATATCACTGTAGCCGATATATTCTTATATCCGGTCACTCTATAGCCGATACAGGCTGTACAATGTAGGTCTACTACCGGCACCAAGAGTCCATAACTCTTGCAGGCACTACTATGTAATACCTCTATACTACTTATTGCACACATCATCATCATCATGGGTGGACATCCTGAGCTGCTCACATGTCATGGGTGAGCTCCCCCCCCCTTTTTTTTCTTCTTTTTTTTTCTTCTTTTTTTTGGCCGAATATTGGTCCGGCAGCTGCCGGACCTGCCGGACCGCCTGCTACGGCCCTGTATGTAGCTACTTTTAAACTGAATTGCTTTTCTTAAATCTTCTTTTCTTCCAATTTCTGCCAATGGCGTCATTCTCTCGGCTCGTCAGCTGTCAACAGTTACTGCCACCACCATGACACTGTCGCGAGAAGGTGCTCTCTGTAGATGGGGTTGGTGATGTCCAGACGCGGCCATGGGTAGGCCTTCACCACGTCGAAACACTCCGGCTACACGTTGGTCACGGCAACTAGTTCCGTTCGTAAATCACTTGTTTGTTGATCTTGTTACGTAAACTGGTATTGGCCAAGAAGACTTGATTTTCAAGGTTTATCTAATACTAGTTTTGTTGAACTAGTATTAGGTTATATAATACTACATGACATGTAGATTGTAGTGACTTGTTGATGCGAAACAAGAGAGCCTGGTCAGAACCATTGCTAGGATCGGTCTATGTTGGTTCTATATTCTCATACGGACAAGACACGTCACCAGGCTATAACGCACATGATTGGTCACTACCCGATCTCACATGGTTTGTGCGGCCTTACAGAACCCCCCCCCCCCCCCCACACACACAATATCATGGCAGACGCTACTAGTACTACATGTAGCTCAGTCAAAAATCAGGATCCTGGCTACTCCAGACGCTACATGTACTACGTAGTATGGACAATGGAAGCTGAAAACACACATGTGATGGATTCACAATATCAAGGGACTGTATATCCACGCACAAAGAACAAAGAATTGGGAATTAAACCCACTGAGACACAAACACTCAGGCACAAACTCAACAATGCCTTGATTTCAAAAATACAATCAACATGCATACTTCACTAGCAATAGCAGCATTACCCTCTCACAACGGATGTACTCCGTTACTCAGTTACTCAGCCGGGAGTGGAATTAAAGAAGAGGCAGCTTCCTCATTGTTCAGCTCAGCAGAAAAAGTGGCAAAGAATCGGAGAAATGAAAACTTCAATCACAAGACAAAAAGAGATGTCCACAACTTTCTTAGTAATCACAAAACAGACCTCATATTCCAGTCTCACATGATATCACACACTTCCTCACGGCACAACTCGGCATAGTATCCTGCTGTTCAGAGATATCTGAGAGAACACAGAAGAATTACACAAACAGCACATACAAATATTTGTGATCGGGAAAGTATTACACAGCTCACTCCACTCTCCATGGTGGTT